TATGAAATGTCTGAATATGATGCGCAGAAAGACACATGTGAACCGTCTGAAAATATCCTAGAAAAGTTTGAAGACGAGAGCAAGCGCTATAAAATTTCAGAGTGGCAAGCTGGTTGGAATATAACAAATGCAATACAGGTACCTCATTTTAACAATACACGTAGAACATGTTTACCTGTTGTGATCTGTTCGTTTTTGTAGTAGTTCTTATTAAACAGACTTTGATTCTCAGGGTTTCAAATGGTTAGACTGTTTATTTCTTTTGATTGTGTTCAAGATATTTTTTTGGTGTTTTTGAGTCTTTTGATTGCCATCGTTTACAGCCGCCTCAGTAATATCCCGGTCTTGGATAGTATAGGAGTAAATCGAACTATATTACAAACTGACCAAGCAAACAAATCCTTAAGGAATAAGTAACGAAAACATTTGGGGAATCTTACGGCGGTTAAATTGGTGAGCGGATGTGGTTTGACCATTATCTCGCCATTTAAAAAATAGCAAGATGGTAAAATTATTCAATCCTTTCAAAGTTTAATCTAATTGAGAAATAGAAAATTTTGCCAGTGAAATGGGTAAAATCCCAAAATGTTGCGCACAGTCAATCTTTTGCCGAAGGTCGACGATTCTCTCCGTGTACTCCGGCTTCCTCTACAAAACAATAAACGTGGCTGAACGTGGCGTTAAACACAAACAATAAATCAAAAACATTGTCTTTGGCAATTGTTCTTCAAAGCCCATGACGATACGTCTGAAACCCAAAAGAAAATATGTTGGACTGTGCCAAATTCCAAAATATTAAAACAGCTAGTATATTTATGACTTGCTTGCGTTTGCCGTATTTAGTTATTAGTCTCAGTATCTTTGATAACTTTGTTGTTGTTATTAATATCTGAAGGATGTTATAAAAAAAGAGCCAGAAGACACCAAAGGGACAATCAGAGTTATTATTTGTTCAGGATTTTCTCGTATTAAGATGTTAAGAATTTGATTTATTTTGAGAAGTTGTTGATAAGATATTAAACATCTTCTTGTATATTCACATCTTACTACTCATTTAAAAATCTTGACTTGATTTGATTCTAGTCTAATAATTTATTGATAAATAGTGTTAGAAATTGTCGAAAACTAATGGACATACGATAAAAAGTGTCAAAATACCAAACAATATCCACATCCTATCATCACAGACATCTCACTTGTAAAGAGTGAAAAGGTATAGCGTTATTGTATTATTAGCGTAAGTCATCTAGGACAACATATTTTCACAAGTAAAATGGCTAAGTGTTTTAAGGGGAAAAACAAGCTTACGCAGTATTTCTACCAGACAGTCTCAAGCTGTTCATTATGTGCCCTTTGAGTCTTTTTTAAAGTTATTTTCATATATCTGTCTAGGAAACATCTTCTTCATCCCAGCTGTTATTAAAATATTAACCATTTGTTCTCTGTTAATGTAGTTTCGGCCACATAAGCTTAGTAACTTTTACTTCAATTTTATAACTTTCAATCAGTAATGCCTACTATTTACCAATATAAAAAATTTTGGAAATAATTTGAAATTAAGGAATGTATCGCCCTCGTGCATAGTTCGGTTTCTTTATAAAAATAAGGAGATGTGGTGCGATTGCCAATGAGACAACTATCCACCCAGATTCAAATTGATGTGGCTGTAAGCAATTATAGGCAACCGTACGGCCTTCAACAATGAGAAAAACTCATACCGTATAGTCGGCTATAAAAAGTCCCAGACATGAAAATATGAAATAATTCAATTGAGAAAACAAACGGCCTAATTTGTCCGGTTTTGGCTTTACTTTTGAACCTGTTTGATTTTATCGGCTCTTCAACGTTTGTATTAAGTTTTGTATTTTCAAGTATTTGGCCTCGAGCATCACTGAAGAAATAATGATTGTCATCTGGGGCCGTAAATTCGGTACCATTAATGTTATTGTCACTGCTATACTGAATGATAGGATTAAGTTCTCACAAATATACGTCAATTTTTAATGTGTCTCGCGGTTAAGGAAAGAGATATTAAATCCAATGCTTTTATCTATGGTGGACATTAAGAACTCACACCCAGTCATGACAATTATGTCACTCTTAAAGTAAAGGATATCATTATTTCTAACAATGATAGCAATTTGTTTGGCACATGAAATTGCAAAACTAGTAAACATTTTTATACCTTTAAAAATGTAAGTTTTATTGATAAATGAAAAGGATGACATAATCTGGACACTAAAGTATAAACTGTGACTTTGTTGTGTCACTATGATGTCATTAACATGCCGAAATGTCATATGTGCCATAAATTGGTCATTTTACACATGGTTTGTGGACAAACTAGATATGAGTCAACCTCATACCTGAAAAGATATTTTACACACATAAACATACTTGAATTAAGGTATATGTAGCAAAATATCTTTTTGATATGATTTTGGCTTATATTCGAATATTAATGAGGCAATTGTTGCAAGTTTTAGTTTGCATTAAATGAAAGAAAGAAGTTTGAAGCCCTTTGATGTCACTCTGTAAGACAAATCAAGAAAATATAAATACCGCTATCTGACGGTCTTTTCAACATACGAAGGATTTTATTTGGAAGATTTATAATATTATTAGATATTCGAATTCAAGGGGCCAAAACAGTAGCCTTTACAGCCTTCTCTTTGCACAAATTCTTAATATATCTAGCGATTCAAGCAAGAATGTAAACTGTGTTTTTTTTAATTAGAAGGCAGTCAGAGCTATTGCCATTTGCTGATATAGTGAACAGATTTATGTTTTTTTATTTTGTCACATTGCTTTGGCTTCAACTGGAGATTAAAGTAATGTCTTTCTCTTAATCTTATAGCCCCTTAATTCCTTTCTTTCTATGCTTGAAATTTTTGTTTGTCGAAACAAGTATTTTATGGATGCTGTGTGTGTTGGAATAATAATTGTAAAAGTCCAAATTGAGATTAAAATCCAAATCTGAACAGGTACTTCATTTAAAAAAATAACCAAAAAATAACAATCTTCATAAACAACAAATTCTTCTAAAACATGGTATCCTACACCCCAATATGGCCATTACACTTTATCACTATCGTAACATCATAAAATGTGCAAAAGAACGACTGTCTAGTGCAATACAGCACTAATGACACGCGTAAAAGGACTGACTGGTTTTTAACGCTTTCATTGGTACATTTCACTAATGTACAAATCCAAGGATAAATGTTCTATTAAATATGAATAAAGGGCGATGCCGGGTTTACATCAATGTGACAGCAATCCTTCACAGCAAGAAATTAACAGACATCTAATGGGAATCATAGCGCCTTCAATAATAGACAGATGTCTTTACAATATGACAAGTTCTAGATTGTTCCGAGTCCATTAAAGTTGATACTAAATTAATCAGAATTATCAAAGATGTGCTATCAGCACCAAATTCTCCAAATAAAAATATTATGATATGAAATAGGACCATTACTAACGATGATATTGACTAGGCACATGAAATAGGACCATTACTAACAAGGATATCGACTAGGCACATGAAATGGGACCATTACTAACGACCATGACGATGATATTGACTAGGCACATGACTATAGATCTATGGCAGGCTTAAACTAGTTTAATGAGATTTCGACCTTTCCCTTGTACTATCGGTCGAATAACAAAAGTAAACGAAAGAACATAAAATCAGTAGAAGCACTTAACCTTAAACGGTATAATAGATAACAACGTATCAAAGAATGCTCGCAGTTACTGGAAGCTAGCTACATGTGTTAAACATGCTCATGTGGATATCATGTCGTCTTACTATCGTAATAGCAGTTGCTACATTTCGCAGAGGATTACATACAGCAAGTTCCAGTGGCGGATCCAGAAATTTTCATAAGTGGGGGCCCACTGACTGCCTAAGAGGGGACCCGCTCCGGTCATGCTTCAGTGATTTCCTATATAATCAACCATTTTTTCCCAGAAAAGGGGGGGGGGGGGGGGGCGGGCCCCCCTCTAAATCCGCCTCAGGCAACGCCATAAATAGTACAGGAAGAAGTATGCTATGACCAAACAAATTTTGCAGAAAACAAAAGAAATGTTTTAGTAGCGTTTAACTATAAATAAAAGAAATGATGTGTATCCAAAAAATTCCCAGGCGCATTGATTGAACAACAGCATAATTATAAGCCTACTTAGATTGTTTATAAATAACCTAAAGAAAAATATTGATTTGAATGACAATTCCTCAATGTGTTAGCCTAGTAAATAATATTACCATAAAAATCTTGATGCGAAATAACACTTTTATCAAATTGCTATCGTTAGAATTATACTTCCACATTAAATCTCTATTGTTGTTATAAAATTTCAGTAGAAGATTTGACAAACTTATAATATTTATATCCTTGTTGTATTCGTGTTTAGTAAGAATGATTTGAGGTGGACATAATAAATTGCATGTAGATACGTCTGCAATAAGAGGAGCAAAGTCAGTTCACATTGTAATACAAACAACTAGGTGATATACTTTAAATCCAAAACGAACAAAAATATAAAGCGAAAAATAAAGGCTATACTAATTTCTTTGCATGTTCGATATTCGTATTTTTGTAAGTGTTAATACTGAAAAAGAGTTGCAAAGACTATAGATTTGGTAAAATCCATATTAATCCAAAGATATTATCAAATTAGAAAATTTCACCAGATATAAAAATGTGTTTTTTTTTTTTAGTATTCGGAGTCCAGAAATCATAACTGTAAAAATACTGATTTTGTTATTTTCTTTAATTGAGATTTTTTTTATGAAATAAAATTGCTTTCAAGTCATATTTCTTGCGTTCCTGATTCTGGCCTTTCCTTAGCAGTATTGTAATGAACAAGAAGCTTGATTTAGTACTTAGCATTGTTTTGATCATTCATGTTTTGTAGAATTTATCTAGAGTATTATAGAAAAATAAAACATTTACGTTACGATAATTAATGATGATAATTGCTATTTTTAGGGGATGTTTGTTGTAAGCTTTCCCTATGCTGTACTACAGGGTGGCTACTGGACATTACTCGCAATCATAGTAGTAGCATACATATGTTGTCATACTGGGAAAATTCTAGTGGAATGCTTGTATGAAGAAGACCAGTATGGACAGAAAATTCGTGTGCATTGTTCATATGTGGATATTGCCAATTTAGTGTTTGGACCTCGTTTTGGTGGTAGAATAGTAAATGTTGCGCAGATGATAGAATTATTAATGACATGTATTCTTTACATTCTTTTATGCGGTGACCTAATCATCGGTTGCTTTCGTGAGAGTGAGAGCCCACTAGATCTTTCTTATTGGATCATGATCAGTGCCGCGTTTCTGTTGCCATGTGCATTCCTTCAGACATTAAAGAGTGTGTCTTGGTTTAGTTTTTGGTGTACAGTAGCACATCTAGTTATCAATGCCATAATATTGGTATACTGTTTCTCTAGAATCAACGATTGGAAATGGTCCGAAGTTCAAGTTAGCATAAATATTTGGACCTTCCCAATATCTCTTGGTGTAGTTGTTTTCAGTTACACATCACAAATATTTGTACCCACCTTAGAAGGAAATCTGATTGATAGGCAGAAATTCAACTGTATGATGCATTGGACACATTTTGCTGCCGCCGTTTTCAAAGCTTTATTTGCCTACATCGGATTTCTAACGTTTGGAAATAATACCAAAGAATTTATTACCAATAACTTGCCACGAATTTTCAGAATTGCCGTTAATGTATTTTTTGTACTGAAAGCTTTACTATCGTATCCACTGCCATATTTTGCTAGTGTCGAATTACTCGCTGAATCTTTCTTCAGAGGACGACCAAAGACAATTTTTCCCGTGTGTATAGACAACGAGAAGAGTTTGAAAATATGGGCTGTAATCCTACGTCTCTTACTAGTCATCTCTACAATGTTAATGGCAATATTTATACCTCATTTCTCTCTTTTAATGGGACTGATTGGAAGTTTTACCGGAACGATGTTATCCTTAATATGGCCATGTTATTTTCATCTTTACCTTAAAGGAAGAACAATGTCTTGGTATGCGAAACTGTTTGATATAATTATTATAATACTAGGTCTGTTATGCCTTGGCATTGGGATTTATTATTCCGGTAGCGCATTGATAAGATCTTATAGAGGTCTACCACCAGATCCACACAATCCGAGAATACCTTACCATAGCGGACAATAGGGATAGAGAGGTGGATCTATGTTTTATTGTTCAAATATGAGGAAAGATTTCTATTTCAATTCATTATTTGAAGCACTTTTCTATCTTCCTGAAATGGACACTGTTGAGCAGTCTTTCAATACTATAACATCATCGGTGCTCATGTAAAGTCTATAGAATAAAACAAAACTGTGTCGAGGATTTGATCATTGCATATATTTTTTTTATTTATTTTCTCTTTAAATCAAGATAGGAAGAATGAAAAAAATAACTTGGAATGTATACTTATATACGTATGTATTTAAAGCTATTGTGCTGTATGTGTGAATTTGTACATTACCTAAATATATTTCGAAAACAATGAAGAATGTTTATACACAATGCTTGTTGTGAATAAGTCATTTTGAATTTATCATTTGTGACAGCAAAAAATTACAAAGAACACGTTCACTTCCTTTCTCAGGTCGAATGGTTGGGGAAAATGTTCAAATAAAATCATTCTGATTATTTCTGGCGCGTTTTACACTTGTATGTCTGTCTACTTAATTTTACACTCATTAACAACTCGGATATTCCTTTTCTATGCTTACAAATTTGTATAAAATATGTTTATCCTTTTGAAGGAAGAAAAACTGATGTTTGCTGGAGGAGATTCGTTATTTGTGATATACCATCGCTCGCCTCATTGTTTTTAACCATAGAAAAAAACTTAAATTAATGATAGTAACATTTAATTTGCATGCAAAACAATACATTACAGGTCATAACGACTGCAAAACATTGGCTTTGTGCTAACATGAATCCCTGGATCCACCTAAATACCCTGTACATGATTGCAGCAAGGTAAGTTGTATTGGAAAACTAAATTCAAATGTAAAAATTAAACCAAAGTCGGGGTGTTATTCAATGTAAAAAAGGGAAACCTTTCTTGGCGCAGGGCGGTAATATATGACTCTTAATTCTAGTGGCATGCGATTATTACCTAATTATATTTACTAGTAGCTAGACCTTAGACAAAGTTAAATGATTGTTGAACTTGGAAATGAAGGTTAGATTGAATGACTTTGACTAGATGTAAAGTACTGTTTTATATACATCACCGTTTTGCAATTACAGATGGCTTAGATTGTTTAACTCGGAAATAAAGTTTAATCAAAGTAAGGATAAGTGAAATGAAGGTTAGATTGAACACATTTGACGAGATGTTGTAAAGTACTCTTTTTATATACATCCCCGTTTTGAAATTACAGGTCGCTTAAATTCTAAAACGTGTCTCCGGACTTACAACGTTTAATCAAATAAACAGTGAAATATATGTCATGTGACCACAATCATATGTCGTATAGTTAGCCTGTAGATACAAAATTATATAGCTGTATGTCAATCTAAAAAGTAGATGTTGATGCTCGTGCTTTTGAACTTTGATATTTCTCCATTACTAGTCCCTCTCAACTTCTTCCAGGTGAGCTAATGAAATTTTGAAGTTTTATTTATTATGGAGGGGTTAGAGGGGTGGAAGCTGAATGTAAATGAAATGTACTTATTATGAAGTTAATGGTTGATATTTCATGTTATATATACATCGTGTCATTGTATATTTTCTATTATGCGTTTACGGAGATCAATTGTGCTTATTAAAAGCTGCAATATTATCAAAAATAAGCCACCACGTCCTGAGAACTACTTTCTCCATTATCCATAATTCCATTTAGTCGTTTATTCTTTAACAGTTTTTCGTCATTGGAGTTGTAGTTATTATTGATGTTGTTGCGTTCTTTTTCGAAATTTTCATCCGCCCTCGAGTCAAATTTCTTTCTATTGTCCCCAGATGATGGAAGGAAGTATTCATTTTCATGTCCGGTTTCATTTTCTGTTACCCTTTTTGGTTTATTTTGGTATTCTTTGATCTCATCATATATAGGGTTATTATAACCTTCATTCATACTGATATCGCTGTTTAATTTTTCCTCTTGCAATTCTGATGCAAAAACTTCATCTTCTGTTTGTCCGATATTTTTAGAATCTCGTTCGTCATCTAATATTGCTCTACTGTAGCTACGTCTACGATACAAATTCTTATCTTCTCCATTTTCATCTGTATCTATATTGTACGTTGAACGGCGAGTACGGACGAACGACTCATCGGATAATATTCCTAATTTTGCTTGCTCTTTAGTACTAGGAAATAGAAAGACATAGGCATCGGTACCGCTAAGACGTTTATCTTTGTCATAGTAAAGCCACCGGTTGGATAGCTGGTCTTTCTCCTCTATTCTGTTTTCCGATTCTGTATCAAGTCTACCTAAAGAGGACGATCTCCTAAGTAACTTAGTTACAGTAGATAAATGATGATTCCCCGAATTGGATCTGCCTAATGCTTTTGTAATGTCACTTTCACTGTAACATATATCATTCCTACTGCTAGCACTCGACAAAGTCTGCATGCTTTTTGATCGGATACTGTCGTCTAGGCATGTAATTTGTTCATGCTTGAACGCATTATTACATTGACCCTGCTCTGTATAGTTTTTATGTCTTGTCGATACCGCATATATATCTTCTAGAACAATTTCATCATCACTGGGATATTTGGTATTCATATATCCACGGTCTTTGCTATTTAACGATTTATCGTGATTTGTTGTAGCCATAGATTTCAAGGTAAGTGAATGTAATGCAGTCACAGGTCCCTCAAAGTGATCTGACTCGTTATAGTTTTCTGCTTTGTGGCTATGACTAAGATGTGAAGCTTCATGTTTATGTGAGTGTTCATCCTCAAGTTTTGTCGGCAGAATGTTTTCATGCTTCTCGTCTGTTTCATGCGCTATATGAAAATGGCTGTTGTCCCTTGACCGTCTGGAGACTGAATAAAAGCAACGTAAATTTGTAAATATATCGTGAATAGACAGCAAGATAAATATAGAATACATGTTCACATTGTTTAGGAATATAAAAGCGAAATGCTTAGAAGAACATCGAGACAAAAGTTGATAGATGCACTTTAACATGACATCATAACCATTCAGTTATATACAAGTAATCTTGAACTGCATGGCAAAAACACAGATACAACTCTGCTGAGCTATTTGGTAAATGGAAAGAAAATGCTTACCATCAGCATGACTTCCTCGAACATTCTGCTCACCAGTATACTACAATCACATGGTATTAAGGTAAGAAATATGACACACATTACCAAAATGACAATCGCTATTAAATATTTCTTTATTGAAAAAACCTGATACTTATTTGTTGATATGGTTTTTTTTTTCTCTGAAAAATTCTTACAAATCATTTCTACATCCAGATAACCAAATAATAATATATCAAGTTAGAAGATAAAGGAAAAGCTAATACATGTAATTTTATTTAGTATAAAAGTTTGTTTTATTAAACTGTAATATAATAATATAGAATATAAACTTCAATTTATTTTTAAAATACATTTCAAATTCAATACAATAAGATTGAAAATAAATGTTCACAATGTAGTCAAATTGTGCACAGTGAATCATAATATATGTGCAATTTTAATCACAAAGTGCATAGATGACCAATTCGAATGTGACGATAACATATCATGCAGAGATTCACTTTATATTGATATTGTTAAGTTGCTTTTCTATTTCTATATTGTCACTTTTTACAATGTCTTTCTGAAATATTTCAGTTTTGTTCTTTGATCTGATGACAACATCTGCACTATTACTCAAATGAGCTCTTGATATCTACAAGCAACAAATTTCTTAATGAATTTTTAATATTCATAACAAATTAAACAGTAAATTTCAATAGTGTATACTAAAATGTCATGTAGAAAATAAGTTCCTTTAATATCAAAACTTTTGGCTGTTTTTGTTTATATATTTATTAATTACATTGCTATACGACCGACCATCTTTTACTAAGAAAGATAAAAGAACAGTAACAAAGAAAATACTTTCGTTCCTGCATTTTATATCAGTAAACGAAAACCGAACTTTCACCAAAAATAAAAATACACTCGAAGTTATATTCTTAAGCGACATATTCTTTCCTTTGCTTTCGTTTTTGCTTCTTAGAACGTTTAATTGTTTTACTAGGATCATACCCATGCAGTGTTATATTATAATTAAAGTGAACAAATTTAGGTTCAACATCACTGTTTGAATTTTTGTTATCAATTTGAGGTGGAATAACATGCGAGCTACTGTAAAGATTGTTCTCAACCATGCAGTCAACTACTGAGGTGATGCCTTGGGCTGTTGGGAATTCAACGCATGCAATTGTATTATCTTGTGCTTCAGCTGGTTCCAGAGTGTAGTCTGCATTTCTTGTTGACTCAGAATCTTTACCAACCTGTTGCCGCCTTTTTACTATACACAAAACGATGATCACAGTTAGCAAAAGAAGAAAGAGGAATCCAAGACTTCCGCCAACAATATACAGAGTTTTGTCTTGTGGACTTGCTGCTGCAACTGTTTCGTTCATTATCCCACCTGAAATAGTTCATTAGCTAATTGTTATAATTAACAGAGGTATACACTTGACCTACTCAAACAAGATGTCGCCATCATGAATTGATTGATCGGTGAAATTCAGTTCTGTCTGAACTTTAACTCGTCTACTAATGACTGACGTTACTACCGAGTTTGACATGTTCCAAGTTTTGACCCTTTCTACTTCATATAACATAAGAGTCACGTGACTGGGGAAGCATGCATAGCACTTGATGATTGTTTTATCTCCCGTTTTTTCTGTTTTATACTAGGATTTATACATTCATTTTGAGTAAACATGTGTTTACTACCTTAATATTCTATAAATGGCAATTACTTTGCGACTATAGGACTGTAATGTAAATGTTGTGAAAATCTAGTGCAATAAAATAGCTGTACTTGGGGGTTTCCGATGAAAATTTGACAACAAAAGTAGCAAGAGAATGGGATATTTTTGTGAGAAAAAAAGAAGTGTCTAAATTTTTCATAAATTAAAAATATTAAATTGTGTCTTTTGTTTTGATTTGTTTCTATATTTAATCTAATATATTCGAAAAGCCGAGAATAAAATATTGAAGCATTCATCGTGATCATGAAAAGTTTAAACCACTGACAGAAGATCTGAATATGCCATGAGAATTAGAATCGTTTTCGTTATACAAAATTAAGATCCTATTTATGCCGACATAAACGCTGAAAACCCTACCTCATCATATTGATGTTTGAGTCAAAAATTGGTGAAAACCAAAAATTAATTTGACGGGACAATAGAAAATCCTCTGAACACTTAGGAAGATACAAACATAATCTTTTTTTAAAGTCACCACATTTTAAGGTAATTGTGAATGAATAACAGTCATAAAAAGAAGGATAATATGATGTTGTCTAACTTACTATTGTCACTTGGTGTTTGGATGGACAAAGTATATGAACAACTAACTGTGCCTTTATATGTAACAGATGCCGCACAGACACGGTATGTGTAATTTTTTCCTGGTACCAAGTCACTGACGTTAAAAGTTGGTTCAAGATTGTTATTTTTTACACTGATGAAAGACACTCCCTGAATTCTCTGTAGAATAAAGTACTGATCTCCCCCACCACTGAATCCAGGCGTACATTTTATATCCAGTTCATATTTTCCATCCAAGGTAATATTGCAGTTCTTTGGAATATCAGGCGGACCTGTTAATTATACATTTATATGTTTACTGTTTCAATATCTTAATTTGACTGATCAAAAGTAAATCTTATATAAAAAAAATATGAAATCAAAAATAAAGAATACCAAGAAAACCAAAAAATCAAACATTTATAAATGAAAGATTAAAGAAATAGAACTTAAATATGTCTCCCATGTTTTATAGAGTTTGGCAGTTTTAAAAGAAAGTAAAAAGACAAGCTTTTAAAAAAGTGGCTAATACTGCAAACCTGGTTTTACTATCATGTACAAACACGGCTGTAGCATGGTACCAACATCGTTCCTAGCAATACATTCTATGTCGGTGTAGTCAATACTGGCTCTACAAAATGAAGATACTTAAGATGTTAAAATCAAAACGTGATTTACAGTCTTGTAGTATACATTACAAAGTAAGAAACCGTATAACTGTTATCTTATCTCATAGATTTGAAAAACCTAAGTCAAAAAGCATTGAGCAATGTTTGACCCATACATGTATAATGTTTTTTTCTAGTACTGGATTTGAATTATAAGAACCAAATGTTTCGATTTACAGTTTAATGTTTACGTAATAAAAAGTTGAAAATTTTGAACCATAGAGCCTTAGAGGCAAGTATATTTTAATATTTAATTAAACCATGAGTAATCCCCCAATCCAAAAGACGGCTTTACTCTTACTTAAATTTTGGTATGAACAATAGAGATGCCTAATGTACTTACTGCAATTTAATCTGTATTGAATTAGTTGCTGTTTTGGCGACATACGGGTCTGTATATGATGGCTGTTGATCTTTGATTATAGTATTCCTTGTTTTATACCGCCATGTAATGGTCACATTTGTTGCTGGATTAGCGGAAACTCGACATGTCAAGGTCACTGTTTGACCAATAGATGCAGCCAACTTTTCAATTGATGATGTCATGCACACCGGTCGATCTAAAACGTAAAATGTATGAAACATTTGACAGGAGTGCTAAACAGTTGTTTTCAACGTTTCTTTGAAACTTGTTAACGAGAGGCGAAGATACCATAGGGACCTTCAAAGTCGTCTTAAGTTTCGAATGGGGATTACTTGTGTAAAGGGTAGAAAAGTCAAATGTTTTATTACTATTGCAAAATACAAGAGTTTTAGATTGTACGTACTCTAAACAGATCTTTGGAATTTTAAAGTATCCACATCTGATTCACGCCGTAAACTGTTTCATAGAATCTGACCATCAAAACTTAAATAATGATAGTGTTTTTTCCCAATAATAATGGATATATTGGTCCATCTTGCTTCTAAAAGGAATAGACAACTTTCTTACAAGTATGAAAAGAAATTAATTAAAAAAACAGAGGAAATAAAAAGAAAAGTCTATATTGTACTTTATTGTCTTTATGTTTGCGCGATTTTTTGTATCACAAAAGTGCATAAAAGTACATGTGTATTACTATAAATTCATTTGAAAAATAAGACTAAATAAAGGATACAAAAGTACAATGTTTTAGTTATATTAAAAATTGAGAGAAAAGTTCTCTGTCAGACTGGGTTTATAAAACAGGATTGGTGTCTTACTTTGAAAGAGTACCATCTTCTATGGATATCATAGTTATTTTTTTTCGTACAATCCTAAAAGTAAAACTGTACGAGTATGATAATTTTCTCGTTAACTATTTTGTTCTACATTTTAGGAGGGCATTACCGTTTAGCTGCACATGTATGCTTTGCTTTATTTTCAAATAAAAACATTGATGTAAGCAAGATATTTTATGAATGTGTTATGTTCCATTCTTTTTAACCTTACGATATAACAAACAAACATATATTATTCGACTTTTTTAATTTCCCCTAAAAAAATAAAAACTAAGAAAATCAGTGAAAATTTGCAATCTTTTACTCCAGCAACTTTAAAAAGAGGTATCTCAAATGGGTTAGTGTGGAATGCGAGAAATATTTTTTGTATGACATTGATCTCTTCTTCTCATTAATTACATTACAATAAAACAAAATTAAGGATTTCAATTAATTCGGGACAAAAAGTCTTAGTCTTCTCCACACTAAAGCCACTGACATGTTTGAAAACTGTGTCTAATGTGACCATTGTGTGTATTTTCTATTGATTTTCTGCCATAAGGATTCGGATGTACATGTAAATAGACTGAATATAAAATCTAGATTACTATACTTACAAAACACATTTAGATTTAAAGGTGGACTACTCCTTGCTATTCCTAGTCGATTGGATGCTTGACATTGATACTGACCTATATCATCTCTACAATAAATAACAATTCCTAAGATTACAATGGATACTCCCCTATATCATCTCTACAATAAATAACAATTCCTAAGATTACAATGGATACTGACCTATATCATCTTTACAATAAATAACAATTCAGAAGATTGCAATGGCTTGGGGTTTTTCCAACACGGTAATAAGTATGTGTAAAAGAAAAGCTACGTTATACAGTGTTATACATCTTTTTTTCTTGTGCAAATAACACCTGCTTCCATTTCTTATACAGTTAAGTGGTTTATTTTCCCACTTTACAGTATTTTGTGCACCACTTTTAACATAGTAATACTGAATACCACCCCATACACACCCACCTCCCACCTTTCCACATACGCATATAAGATATAATAAAAGTCATGTTTCAAAGTATATTAGTACATTGATTATCCAATTATATTAAAATGAACTAGAACATAAATCATCACCTCTTTACTTCACGAATATGCAGATCAAATTGTCCGTTTTTTATTGAATAATTCGTGCTTATTCTCTGATCTTTCATAACCATTTGTCCATTCTTCAACCAATAAACCTGGTTTTCCGAAGACATCGGCCTCGCATCAATGTAGCACCGAAGTATTGCTTGATTGTGTTCATATACATCTAAAGTTCCATTTGATGCTTGTATAACTGGCATATCTATTAAATAATGATTTTTCTAGAACTTAATAATAAGAAAGAGAATTAAGATACCAAATGTGGAATACAATTATATGTTAAATCTAAATTATTGTGATGACGATTGTGAATCGATCGGAGGGCAGTTAAGAGCAAGTAGTAGGCGAAAGAGGTCCTTTGCCTTATACTAGTAATCAATACTAGAAGCATATCTCTGAATTTGTCTTGTAAGATACTAATGTGAGAAATAATATTAAAATATCAAGAAGGAAATACGATTCAATGTTGTGCATCCTGTAACAGGAGAAATTACATATCTTCGAGTACTAGAAAAAAAAAACTGGACTCTAATATGATTAAAGTTACACTAAAGTAGTGTATACGGAGAAATTGTTTAATTATCAAACGCACATATGATTTTCGCAAAGCTACAGAATATGAATCATGTGAGAAGTCAATGCAATGAGCAATCCAGCGACAAAAATATCATAGTCCATTTGCATGCTGCTCTCAAAACTACAATAGTTTGATTGGGCGTTATTAAGTTTGTAACTTACATGCTGCTTCCAATACTACAGACGTTTGTATATTTTGACAGTATCCTTTTAGTTTACTTACATGCTGCTCTCAGAACTACAGTAGTTTGTACTGGCAGTCGGTGTTGTCTTTGCAGTACATCATTCATTGCTTTACAAGTCAGATTGACACCATCCATGGATTTGTCGAAACGTTTTGATATTGAGCTGGTAACAAAAAATGTTCCATCTGGATTCTGATAAGTATGTGTATTGGGGTTGCTTTGTTTCCTGCCATCCATGTACCACGTGATGTTGCCTGCTGGACGACTTCCTGTACTCTCACATGTAATTGTTTTTGATTGTCCGTCATCGAAAATACCGGTGAAACCTCTGAATGTCGGCACTCCAGGGAATACTTATTTGTAAAACATAAATAAAACTTTATTATAACGTTCATTGTCTATACAAATATATATATATATATATTATATTTACAAGTCTAAATTGAAACAACGTTCAAACCTATGATTATATATATGACCTTCCAAATACCGTTTCGATCCCTAACATCACTGAAGAGACATTAATTGTCGAAATCCGGATATGGTGTACTAATTTCTGCACCTTTTGTTAGCGGTATACCATCTTTTCCGCAAGTTTATTGTTTTCTGTTTGGTATTAAATTAATAATTTTAAAAGATTCATTTTGTAACATCTTGTGATCCGTTTATTTGGCAATCGCCAATGACAGTCAGCAGGGTTTAAGAACATCTGTTGTTCGACCTGTTAGTCAAATGCGTTTTGTTAAAATAGACTTTTTCACTTTTTTGGTCCTTTCTAGAATGTTGTTTGTGCTGTATTTAGATCCCTCTATCAATAAATTTGTTTTACATGCACACGTATAAAAATTGCGGTTTTTATCCAACGCAATCATAGGTTTGAACGTTGTTTTCAATTTAGACTTGTTTATATATATATATATATATATATATATATATATGTAAATGAGAGAGGAATAGAGATAAAATGCAACAGTCGTATCCCATTTACGAAAGAGATTTTCGGCTCGTTGAAAGCAGTCATACAAATTTATTTATATAATAAACATTTGAGATTAAGATTTTTTCTTCTTTTAATGATACGTTTCTTTTTTCAATTCTGATTGATTGACTAGACCAACTAAAATCATATTAGTAAAGGATAATATTACTTACAGTTCACATTCAAAGAAACGTTATTCTGTACCACAAAGAAGTATGTTATCTCGGTTTTACAAAGCACGGTAGCTTTGTACATAGACCTATCCACTGTTAATACAACTTGACTTGTTCTCAATCCTGTACCATTACTGTAGGTTACGTCATTGTTGGCAGCTGGTAGACTTGTGATGTTCAAAGATGGACCTATAACATATGCAGTATTTTGTAACCGGAATAGCAACCCTTGAATTAACTGTCAGTATTGAACTTATTTTTGTAAAATAAGACAATAAACGTCCAATATTACAAGCCTTATCAGAAAGATTAATTTTATCACTTCTTTCTAAACATTCTGACCTGTAATTGTCCACCTCCTATTGTGGATAGTTGACTCGTTGGCAATCATACCACATCTCCTTAATATACAAAGGGAAACTTATAGGTTTCTATGTTCTTGTAAATTACAGGGAAACATTTAATGCATGCAACGATATCTATTTAACGTCATAAGTTTATTAGTAGTGAACCTCTGTTCCTCAAAATTCAACGCAGTAAATGTTGTTATCTTAATCTTCAAGAATTAATACCTGTAATATACCATTCAAATATTGGTGGTGGCTTCCCGCCATCTGCCTCACATGTTAATGTTGGTTTGCTTCCCTCATCAATACCCCCAACAGGGAGGGGATGTAGCTGTATTCGGGTCGGTTTAACTGAAATTGAAATTAGGTGTAAATTTAAAATGAACTAGATAATATGTCACTGAGACTGCAATCAAACAAAATATTTGTTTTCTTTTATATTTGTTATGAGAGAAATAAAATGATTTTACAATCTCCATTGCTGGAAAATATATTTTACCGACTCAGAGTACAGCATGAGAAATTCTGTTGTAAAATAGTCTTGTGGTGAATTGATTGTTCAGTAAAGTGAGGTAGTCAGTTTAAACATAATCAAATTGACAATTTTCTCCGACTGAGACATTATAATGCTAATGACTATCCGACATCCCAAAATTCCTGATTTGTGTCCAGTACGTGGCAATGGGTTTTAAACAACGACAATTAATCATTGAATTCACAATAATCAATATAAAAACCACGAACTTGATTCAAATCTATATAATACAGAGATCGGTATAATGTAGAAACATACTAGATAGATCGCCTATGTTTTAGTAATAATTACGAAACATGTGGTTGATATGAATAAATGGACATGTAAGCCGTACGTCAATAAGACAGTGATACGGGTATATATATCTCGGTAGATATAAAGGATTTATAAAAGAAATGATAACAAATATTAGGCAGAACAACAGATCACACCAACTACCAATTCAGTCGAATCCACCGTAAAAATAGACGTACACACAAAGACCAACCACAAAAAAAAATGCCCTGTTCCGGCACATTATTTTAGCCTACCTAGACCAAAAGTGGTAATAGCCAAACGAACACTAAAAATCCTGCACAGTTCTGCTACCAATAAGATGACCACTATCTTGAACAAAGAAATAAAGGCAGGCAAAGCACAGAAAAAAACAAACAAAACACCTTCAACGACAGGTAAATATATCACATGTCGAGCTCTGAATCACTCCAAGTTATTTAATAAATTTAACAGAAACTATATATAATATATTTATTAACATCAATTCCCTGAACTATGAAAACAAAACATTTATATATAAACAGGGCAACCAGTGACGAGAATCCTGACTTGGAACAGGTACTTTGACATGTGGTTGGTGTTGTTGGTGTGGTTCATAAGTGTTTCTCGTTTCTCGTTTTTTATATAGATTAGACCTTTGGTTTTCCTGTTTGAATTGTTTTACACTAGTCATTTCGGGCCCTTTATAGCTTGCTGTTTGGTGTGAACCAAGGCTCCGTGTTGAAGGCCGTACTTTGACCTATAATTGTAAACTTTTTTTACATTGTGACTTGGATGGAGAGTTGTCTCATTGGCACTCATACCACATCTTCTTATTTATTTTAACTAACTGTTTTTTTATCTGGATCAGTGGAATAACAAAAGGTAACGAGAAAAAATGGAGATTAGTTCAGAAAATAGCACGTAAGAGCACATGTGCTACCAAAAAATGACGTTTCCTTTTCCCATTGTTAATAATACTTTCCTCGATGAATCACAATCATATGAGATTAGTTCAAAAAACACATGAGCAAGTAAAAAATATGACTACAGATATCATAAATTGGTCAAAAACATTTTCTAAATTTCATAATAAGTTAAAGGGAAAGGTTCCTTTTTAGTTTTAAAGTTATCACTAATGTTCAATAAATTTACAAAAATTCCCAATATATAAGCCTCTCAAAAATCATCACAATCACAATTGTTTCAAAAAGTTTCATGTCATCTTACAGCCTGTCTCAAAATTAACGAAACAATTTATTGTACAAAACGATACACTCCTCGTGAATAGTTTTAAAGCCATTTTCAGAGTGACTGGTCATTGACATATATAACTCACAACTTTTGATATCCAAATGTAGCTAAGAGTACGTATTATATGACCTACCTAATATATTAACTTTGAAAGAGTCCTTCTTCTGTATATCATTCACATCATAACACCTATACGTCCCGTCGTCTTGTAACGTCAAAGACTGAATGATCAGAGATTGACTGTTGCTGTTCACTTGAATGAAAAATTTAGTATTATTCAGACTGTTTGGTACCGGTAATGTTATTTTCCCTCTCAGTGCTATAATTGTTTGATTTCCGTTCATCATATGATCCCATAACAAACCTTGTTGTTTTGGAACATGGCACTGAAGAGTGACTGAACTGCCGAGAACCGCGGGAACTACAGTGTCCTTGTTTGTCGAGGCAGCGTCAGTAGTAACACTGAATATACAAAAAATAATTCCTATGGAAAGCATCCGATTTCTTTGTAACTGAAATAAACAAAAAACTGGAATCAAGATAATGGTATAATCGCATCTTGATAAATGAGAAAAATGATTGTAAAAACATACAAACAAAATGATCGTATGTTTGTGTATTTTTGTTGATTATTTTTTCTCTCAACTTTTCTGTTTTGATGTAATGGTTTTTGTTTTGTGTTTTTAATTGCGTTTGGTTGTTTTCTTACGTCTGTTGGTGTGCATTTTCACTTTTATTGCTGAAAAAGTCGATTACAACTTAAACGTATGTCTGACAAAAAAATAAAATGAAAAAATATTATTAGTAACTACTGGTTAAACTGTTAGACAGTCTAATTTGCTACATGTGAGTGCTTTACCATTACTAGCTCAAGTAGGACTCTTAGGGCGACTTTCGAATTCGATTTTTTTAAATCTATTTTTGTTCATGTATGGTTAATTTTCACGGTCGTGTGATTTTTGTATAATGAATGTAGAATACATTTCTCCTCTTTTTCCAATAAATAAATCCCCTTTTCAATAGATAAAAAAAGTACATTATTTATTTGAAATTATTTTTATATTTTCTTTTTTCATTTTGGGACCATTTTTTGTCTTTCCTCTTGAACATCTATATATTTCTCGTCTTTTTATTTTCATTTATTTTCACAGTAAATGGATTTATTTTGTTATAATTGTACTATTAATAATAATAACAATCATTATTATTATTTTAACGTTTTTATCCTCTCGAAATCTTTTACATTTAATTATAAATACAATTATTTACAACTTCCAATTTTTATGTTTCTTTTAAAATTATACATATTTTGCTAATCCCAGACATTGAACTCATTGATAAACTTTATGACGTATTTTACATTTAAAACACAAAAGATTACTTGTTTTTTACTTATTATTAAAATTACCAATTTTACGTTTTCGCTATCATCACATATAAACATCACCATGTTTACTTACTATTCATTATTTTCACTTACAACTTACCATTTTAATGTTTCTTTGTAAATTTTTCAGTTTTCACTCATAGCAGTTTGTTTACATCATTGGCAAAATGAAGATTTTTTTCATTAAAACACAAAATGATCCATCATATGCTGATCCTAAAAATTCCTAATACATTACAAATAGATAAATGCTATATTAATTTTATCATTTGTTCATACACTAATTACCTTCTTAACAGCTAATATATACTAAATGTGACAAATATTGAAATGTTTATTTTATTGTATTGTTTACTTTCATCAACTACAAACAATGTTCTTATCTATTTGTTTACATGAGTTATAATTCTGAGCCCACATCATCACACTATGACTGTAATGCCGTAACAAATGTGTACGTGTTGTTTACTCCCTTCCTTATTAACTAGAACTATAACTGTGCGTAAAAAGGGGGCATGACCATGTTTATACCATCCACACTCAGTAAGAAATCAAGAAAGCAATCCATGTTAACCTGAATTAATTTTCTCACGTTTAAAACAATTTAAAGCTATGTTTCGGCATGAAGACATCGAAAAGACAAGCAAATGAAGACGAAGATCTATTGCAATCACAAAGGGTCTTTCGTATACTTTTTGATTTTTTCCTGAAATCACGTTGGATGAAATAATCAAATTGAAATTCGATAAAAAAAACAAAAAACTGTAAAGTTTTAATTTTATCAAAATTTGAAGAAATATCCTTTTTGGTCCTCATTTTTAAAATTGATTTTGGTGATCCGCGCGCCATATAACATGACCGTTGAAACTTGTCATTAATGCAAACAAATTGACAAAAAACTAGACGATTTTGCTGATAAGTTTTGAAAACGGGTGTCGTAAGCAACCCTATGTCAGTTCATTAAGCATTTACGTGTCCAATTTTCAGAACGTTGTTCCAAACTTTTTATTTTCCTATTTGGCTCAAATGGTTGCAAATAACGTTTTTGCTCCAAGTTTCTGAAAGTTTTTCGTTCTTTTTTTAATGTCTCTTTCTTCGTTCGACGTGGAGATACATGTATAGTGACGTCAAAATTCGGATTCTTGACAACTTTAACAGAAACGGTTGAAAATGATACAATAGGACAGTGCTTTTTTTAAAGTCTAAGTAACATTTCAAAATCATTTATCTGCAAGCCACTTTGAATAAAGGAAAACAATGAAATTGAAAAAAAACGTTGATCAATTTGTTTGCTTAAACATTCAGCGGCAAATATTACAAGCACATTAATTGATACAATAAATCAATTTGGTTGGTTATGAAAAGTATAGATTTTTCATTCACCTCAAAAGCTAACCAAACCTTTAAACAGACTTATTCAGAAGGGATATTGCCTTGAAGTTACGATACCGTTGTCAGGTCATTAAAGATGACATTTTTTTTGAATTAATATTGATTCACTCATAGGGTCTTTGCATATAAACAAATAAATAAATCTATTCTAAAACCAGATGTTGGCATGATACGGTTTATGTTCTTATAATTCAATTTTGGATGTAACACGTCTTCTGATTGGCTTAAAGTTTTTTTTTGTCTATCAGCTCATAGACATAATTTTGTCATGTGACCGTGACGTATTCAACTTTTTTTCATGACTTACTCCTAAAAAATGGAATATAAAATTAAATTATAAGGAATGACTGTAATATTTTTTCTGTCTATGAAGAAATAACCTCAAAAATGTGGTGCACACTTTTACCAAGTCAGGAATATGGCAGTTGTTATCACACGTTTCTATGTATGTTGGTGTTTGTTTTTGTAGCAGTTCAGTGTTTCTGTTGTTCCGTTTTGTTTCCTGTTATAGTTGATGTGTTTCCCTCGGTTTTGTTTTGTGACCAGGATTTGTTTCAGTTAAATCGATTTATGACTATTGAACAGCGGTATACTATTATTGCCTTTATTTAAATAACACGCTACGCGGGATATTCAGTATGCACAACATTTTCGATGTTATTTCTTCATAGACATAAAAAATATTACAGTCATTCCTTAAATATCGTATATTTTATAACGTATGATACTAAATCCCTAACAGGAAGGATTGTGTTTGGTTTGTATATGATGAAGACATAATCTTTCATTCAGTTTAATTGAGGTCTGGAGCTGGCATGTCAGTAACTGCTAGTAGTCCTTTGTTAATTTATGTTGATTATTGTTAGTTTGCTTAGTTTCTTCTGTTACCTTTTCAACGATCGGACTCGGACTTCTTTTAAGCTGAATTTTACTGTGCGTATTGCAGGGTATAGGGGGAGGGTTGAGATCTCACAAAACATGTTTAACCCCGTCGCATTTTGCGCCTGTTCCAAGTCAGGAACCTCTGGTCTCTGTTAGTCTTGTACGTTTTTTTTTTGGTTCATTTATATGTTTCGGAGTTTAGTGTGACGTCCATTTTCACTGAACTAGTATACATTATTGTTTAGGGGCCAGCTGAAGCCCGCGTCCGGGTGCGATATTTTCTCGCTGTGTTTAAGATCCATTGTTGGCCTTTGGCTGTTTTCTGCTCTTTGGTCGGGTTGTTGTCTCTTTTACTCATTCCCTGTTTCCATTCTCAATGTTATTGATGGGAATGAAGCAGTGGATAAGCATCTGGAAATTGATTAACGACTGTGACATGTGTGAATAGGCGCGAACAAGGGGCCATGATCTTGAGTAGGGCCAGACAGGTCACCTACATGTAATTGGTGAAAAGTTAAGATGTGTAAGCCTGAGTCTTTTAACGTGCAGAGATCTTGGCATATTCCTCGAAAGGAGCATCGGACTTAAAAAGTACTATTTTGACAAGACTTCGGCGGATACCTATCTATGACATTTGATCTATGACCATGTGCAGCCCTAATATTGTACTTTTCAGATAAGTCAAACACATTTACCAATATACAGTTGAAAGATAACAGGTGGTGGCATACGATAAACCAGCAATGATCATCAATGCACAACGAGTTCTAGTTCCATAGAATAAACAATCTTACGCTATTTGAATACGGGCTAAGCTAATTAAGTCACAGTATAGTAATTCATAATTATGAAGCAAATGGAGATTAGTTGTTGCAGATTATATATTTGATTAATAGTCAATCTATCTTTTATATGTTCAGAATTCAAATAATATGGAGGGATCATCCTTATTCATAATCCAAACTATTTTATTGTTAGTATTTATATATTGGAAGTTTGGATGATGATTTTAATATACTCTGCACCCGTGAATCCATCCCTATTTAATAAATGGGTGTCACATTTTTAACAAACCGAGTAATTAACTCTATATCCAACCTATCTGATGAAGGACACCTGGGACAAATTTGAATAAATAAATTTTTAACTGGTACGTCAAAAAGATTTTTCAAGTTTGTGGTAATTTTAATTTTCAGGTTGTCTTAATTCGGTTTGAAAGTATTGATGGCCTATAAATTTATTTAACATACCAATTGTTATTTTGTTTGGATTTACTTTCAATTTTTTTGTTTTTTTTGTAGATCTGATTTAATGGTGATTTTCCTTTGAGTATTTTGTGGTTAAATTAGCTTCTACCGAGTACGGGTTTGTTACATTTCTGTTCCGATATATTTTTTTTAAAACCGGAAATGAGCTTTTAGCCAATCGCAAGACGTAGTTTCCACTTCGCCAAAGTTTGAACGAAAGAAAGCCGGGGGAAATATGAAATCTTATTATATATTTTAGGTCTTAGCCATTTTCTGACTGGGGGAAATTCAATAATTGTAAGTAGACGGAATCGCCTTTTTAAAATACGTAGTTTGAAACCCTACATCAGGAGATTTTGAAAAAAATAACACTGTAAAATCTATTGTTAGTGTCACTGTAATTGTTTTCAAAAACGTCATGCTATAATATTCAACATTGGTTTACCTGATTTGATATTCTCGGGAAACTTGTCTAAATTGTTCTGTAATGAAAAAGTACCAAGGAGGCTTCTAACATTTTTAGATATACAATTTAAAGTAATCTGTTGTGAATATAATAACCAGATAACAGTGCAAAAGTGTACCTTTCACTAGACTGTACCCTTACTCAGACTGTTTATTATTGAAGGCTACATTCAATATAGAGCAAGGATATGACATTTGATTAAAATTAATTTTTAAACTTTGGCTATAAAATGATGACACATTGTATCTTGTTCAGTTGATGCATCTTTGGACTCGCCAGTTTTGAAAATGATGAATCCAGGACTCATGGCCTCGTCTAAGTGAGATCTCTTGTTATAAAACTGATTGAAGAATCATACATGTTTACAGTAAAATGTTGTATGCAAGATTCATTGGAAAATTGAGGACGAGTTCAATGAAACTTTTCTTTCAGATATGCAACAGAAAGATAAAAGATTTGCCATTACAGTGTTCATGCTAGGATTTCAAAAGGGCAGGGTGCCAATACACCTTATCGCTATTTGTCCGCCATTACTGGATATCACACAGGTTCCCGTAAAGTTTTGACGTCATAAAACAAAATATCTGACGCCACAATGGAAAAGTGATTGTTGTTGACGTCAAAAGTTCAAGCGGCCGGGTCAGCCGGGAATAGCGATAAGGTGTATCCTAAAAAAGGGTATTTAACGTGTGATATGATAATATGAAAAGGGCATGTTTTAATAAAGATTATAATCAAACATTGTTTGTTCATTGAATTACTGGTTATATAAATATACAGAACAACATCATTAGCCCAGAGAAAAACTAGCTTTCTACTTTTTAGGCTGAAAACTTATCAAGCAGCTTGTGACACAAGTTTTAAATCATTGTTTGGCACAGTTAACCTTTATATTCAGTATTTTTTGAAAAATGTCCTGCTTCATTCTGTTTCTATGGTCTGACACACTTTACAAGTTTCACCTTTCTATCTTTTCTATGCTTAATGGCAATACAGCACAAAACAGCTAAAAAATGCACAATGTTAGGATATAGTGAACAGTGAAAATTTGGATTGAAAATAAAAAATACAGAAAAAGATGACCAAGGCACTGCTACTAAGACCCTCTTAAACTTTTCCCATAACTCAAAACACCTAAACATATAAATTCTAAAGCCAGAAGTATGAAGACATATTTTATAATATCTTAGTAGGTTACTCAATGCTAGGAAAAAATAAGATTGAGTTATCTTTCTTTATTTGGGTGTGCTCCTTCTTTGGAGGATAATAAACAGTACGTAGAAGATGTAAATACGATCAACAATATGGCGGCCGATTTTGTTATTTTCGTATAAAAAATGAATGCAGTCAATGAAAAATATGTCTTAATTTGCTATTTATTTCACGGAAAACTATAAGAGCAATGTTTTTAACGAGTTGATTATGGTTTTCGACTTTCTGTCAATTACGTTTTCTCCATGAAACTACGGTAAACATTCTCATTGTGCCCAAGTTGTATGAACATTTCTTCAAGTTCAAAGACAAATGCCGACTGACCGATTCTATTTGAATGAATTAATGTTGATGATCATTAAATGACCCATCCGATAAACGGATTACCTATAACAACAGATTATGACACCTGTTGTAACCCTTGATTAGCTTGGGGTCGTAAAACAAAGTCATATACTTGTCGCCAGGTAAATTTTCGTAATTGTCTGATCATATCAATACGGACAAAATAATATACCAATCGATCTTCAAAAAAGGCAGGGCGCCCTGCAAACTGTAAAAAGGGCACAGGGCGGCACTCGGGAAAGGGCGGGCGGACCGCCCTGTGAAAACGACCTAGCTGGAACACTGCATTAATAGCTAATTAAATACAAATGTAATGAATAACCTTAACTTGATTAAGAGATGACACAACATTTTGTTTTCAGAAATATGGATAATATCAAAGTAGCCATTCGGGTTCGACCCATAATATCAAGGTAATTTTATTGTATCCTTTAAGTATTGATATGTGCATATTAATTTACCTTTACTAAAACATTTTTATATGTCATTATAATGGTTTTGTATGGGATGTTTTAACTTATGGTATACAATGTACCATTGTAAATGTTGGTGGTTAACATGTCATTTACTCGTCATGCAGAAGCTTGAAAATGCTTGGATCAAGTGAAAGTTATATGGAATGATGAAAGCCCTCTTCTGCCTCTAAAACAATATTGTTGTTCCAGAGTTATAGGACTTTACTGTTGTTGGGATTTGTGGAAGTAAGCTATTTTTCAATTTGGAAAATTTTAATACTTGCCTTTTCATAGTTGTTGGACAAATTTAGGCAGTTTTTATATTCCTATTGGAGACTGCTGTCCATCTCTCTCACCATACATAATAATTGTGCTATTGATAGAGAGTGCTTTGATCAAAAAATGTATATGGATTTTTTTAATGTGCATATGATTAGTATACATACAATGTATATATGTATCTTGTACTTCTTTCAAAGCTGTTTATTCGTTTAAGTAGCTATTCAATTGAACTTTATAGTCAACAAGATTTCAGTCTGACATCTATATGTACAACCTTCAAATATGGATGCTCCACAAAATTTGAAAATTGAAACATGTTATTGTATCTAGGAAGACAGTTTTCTCCACCGTATTTTTAAAATAGCGCCATGAGATTTTGAAATAGCGTAGTCTCCCTAAAATTATAGCACCATTTTACAATGAATTAACTTAAAAAAAATTCTTAACTGTCAGTCATCCACAGATTTTTTTTACCAGTGTCGGGGATGGATGAGCTTATTCAATATCCATTGTGTATAACTACCAGTGTTTAGAAATTATTGTACAGAAACATCAAACATGTAAATTATGATCTAAGTCTTAATATTACAATTGAATTATAAATCCAATGTGCAAAATAATCAGTAAATCATTTTTTTCTTTCTCTCAAGGGAGCAAAAATTAGGATGTCACAGTAACTGGATGATAAAAAATAATACAATGGCACCAATGGAAAATGGGAGAGTGGGTACTCCGTATGCCTTTGGTATGTGTATTGTTATTTATGGTTTGTTAGTAACACTTCCTTTATTGGATTGTACTGTTTATAATATTTCTTTATAGTTTAAAACAAATATATAGTTTTACATGTTTAAAGTTAGATTGTATAAATTTATTATCTCACTTGCTACCATGCCACATAACACATTTTTTGTATGTACCCTTATATTAATGAAAGTATTTTTAACTTTGCAGATAGAATATTTGACCAAGACAAAACAACATTGGATATTTTTGAAGAAATATGCAAACCAGTTATTACAGGGGCTGTTAGGGGGTTTCATGGTTTGTAAATATAACCAATTAAACATACATGTATATTAAATACAAAATAAAAAATAAATTTAAATCCATTTACAATATTCCTCTATCATTGCAGACTTGCCTCTACTGCAGGAGGGTATACGGTTCAATCTGCATCCAGGTCAAACAACAGACTTAAGACTAAACTAGACAAAGTGATGCCCCCCCACTCCACTCTGAAGTATCTATATTATAAAGTCAATGTAGGACTTTGAGATATTATTGTGTCTGAGAGACACAAATGATGCCCCCGCAGATGCAAAGTGTTATTTTAAAATACACTAAGTTGAGGTTGGGAGCACATAGGTCTATGGTTCACTGTAGGAGGAGTGATCAGGAAACTCTATGCACCTCTTATGCGAGTATATACTCCAAAATGACAAAGTTCAACTATCTCCCAAAAGTGCAAATATTAATAAAAATCAAAACCCTGACCACATGCACACCTTCAATATATGTACAAACAGCCAGCAAAGTGAAAACTTCCTAGCATTCAAACTGTAGGAGGAGTTGTGTCGAATAACTATATACCCATAATGGGACGGACGGACAGGGGTAAAACAATATGCCCCCAAACTTTTAGATGCGGGGGCATAAAAAATGGTTTTTATCTGCTGCCAATCATTCAAATTAACATGATTAAGTAGTTCAAACATGGTCAATTTTGAGGTCTGAAAAAATGTAATAGTTCATTGACATGTCTTTCTGCAAATTGTTACCATGTGAGCTAATACTTTGAAATTCCGCCTGTGCATGTAAATTGTAGTACAATAGGGGGTACATTGATATCACATGACAATGTTCTTGTCCTGTATAAGCAGCTGCTATTTAGTTTGATGCTTGGTATTAAACAACAACCAATCAATAAATACATTTAGAAAATAACTTGAACAAGAACCCCCTTTACTAAATGTCATTTTTACTTCATCGAAAACTGTTGATGGTGTTTTGTATACATTGTATCTACAATGCTTCTCTTTAAAATAAAGCATATGAATATGATAGAGACATACTGAGAATTATCTTTTATCTTTTATATTGCCTTAAACTTAAGTTATATTTATTAATATTTTATCATATGTCTAAAGGTACTATATTTGCATATGGACAAAGCTCTTCGGGGAAAACATTTACTATGTCTGGATCAGCAATGCAACCTGGAATCATCTCCTTATCTGTTGAAGAAATATTTAAACAGATGAAAAATGTAAGTGAGATAAAATAGATTATGCTTTGTTTATCACAACTTATCATCATTATTTGTCATTCTGCCTGTGATTTCATTGATAGTGTTCCTCTCCTCCATTTGCAGTTCATTCAAAATTCTGACCCAATTGCAATCTGTTTCATCAAATCAAACTTTCACTGGTCATAAATTCTACCAATCTGCTGTCGAAGAACTGAACCAAGTTATCTATGTAAGAAGAGCATTTAGGAAAAGAAAATTATACTTACAATCCTATTAGATTTTAATTATACTTAATAGTTACTATTATGCTGCTTATAATTTCTATTCCTACCTATTGTAATATTAAAGTCATTTTAAAGATAAGGTAGTAATTTTTTGATTTGTATAAAAGTATCCAAATTAAGTTTTCGTACTACAAATGTATTCCTTTTGAAATTTCATTTATATTTATGAGAATCATACACAAATTTGAATTAAAATATGTACAATTCAGTAAAATGTATGCAAAGTTACAAATTGTCAATAAGTTTCCATGGGAGATAATCTGATATAATCACTCTCCTATTTAATATGAAATTTTGATCAGACTGTCTTTTCTCTCTTTAAATCTTTATGAAAAAACATTTTAGCTATGACTGATTTTTTAACTGGGTTTTTTAACTTTTAATATAAAGTAATTTCCAAACATGTAAAGAAAAATTACATTTTAGAAGAGATTATCCAAAATCTTAAATATATGCCAAAATAGGGTTTTGACCAAGATTTCATGTATTGAAAATGGAGATTTTTTTATATTATGAAGCCAGCATAATGTCCTATGGAAATATATAAGTGTTAGGTAAAGATTTATAATTAAAACTTAATGTATATTTCCCCATACATAAAGCAACCAACAGTAAATAATAATCTATAAATCTTTTTCCTGGTAAAAATCCTTCACCGATTGAAATTGAACACTGGTCTCTCCTGGAGATTTTGCAGATATAATTGTAATATTCATCCTCATTGCCAGTTGAAATGTCTATAACTGTTAACATATTCATATATCTAGATATGGTGTTGATACATTGTATTTGCATCTTAAATTACCAATTAACTTAATAATGTTTAGTGTAGGTACCTGCTTTTCATTTGGTGTCATATTTTGACCTATTAGTGTCTATTTTCAGATGTAAGTTTTCTGGAACCCCAAAATTAACTGTCTGACTACTATTTGCTTTGTATTTTTTATCATGTTCATATTTAAAAACAAACATAGCAAGATGTTTTTGTTTCATTTTGTAGACGCCAGACAAAGAATTTTTGTTAAGAATATCATACATGGAGATTTACAATGAGAAAGTGTCAGATCTCTTGTCAACAGAGGACAAACCAATAAGAATACAGGAAGACACAGTAAGGGCTATCATACTAGAAAATAAAGGCAGAAAAAGTTTATGAATTCACTATATTTTTATGTTTTCAATATATTGTGGAATTTTAAATAGCTTTTGTGTTCTTTCTATGCATGAAATTAGGATAGAACATATTAAAATGTGAAAAAAAATGTATTTACATTAAGAAATCTTATTTTTGATTTTATATTCAGATATTCATTATATAAACTTTATAACAGTTATTAATGTATTTAAAACAGAAAATATCAATTCTTATGTAACATTTTTATAATGTTTATATTCTATTTGTCATAAAAATTCTATGATTGATGTCATCTGCATGTGCTTGCCAACATTTCCAAATCTACAAAAATACTATTTTTGTTTGATTTCAATTGCTTTAGAATTTTAAAAGGTACAACATATATTGTATTTTAATACTTACTGGCATCAACTTGTTATTTCACTGAATTTGGCTTAACTATTGCATTTTTTGTAAACTATTTGAAAAGTTTATATCTCAAATTGTGAGAATACAATAGTATTGCGTGGTTCTGTTGGACTTTGTGTGATTTATTTCAAATGTATTTCTACAGGATAGGAACATACAGCTAACAGGAGTGTCAGAAGAACTGGTTATGTCTAAAGCTGATGTAATCACTTATATGGATGTGGGAAATGGTATGTAAATTGTGGGGTTTTTCAGAGTTGATTAACAATGTATAAAATATCTTCTTTATTTGATCACACTTTGAAATCAAAATCACATTAGTAAATAACCATTGTAGAAATTCAAATAAGGACACTTCCAGAAAGAAAAAAAAATAGAGTTCACCTACATAACTTGAACATGGTCGTTATAAATATGTGTTGTTTCTGATTTTACTGTACTATAATAATGAGGAGATGTGGTATGACTGTTGACCATAAACCATAGGACAAGAATATAAACCACTACTATGGTTTAAGATAGGTTCAAGTTTTGATTTAAGGTAGATTATGTTTGTGGACACATCAACTTAAAGATAGTACACATGTTCATTATGAAATCTTTAAAACAAATGCCAAATTAAGGTTTTGACCTAGATTTCACGTTTTACTGAACCTGAACATGTGGATAGTGTGAGAAGGGCATGGTGTTCTATAGACACACATAATCTTTTCAGATGAGGATACACCAGTTATATTCAGGTTTGCTGTGTTTTTATAAGGAAATTGAATATAATGTATTGAAAACTAATTTATTCAGTAAACAGTTAAAATTTATTTTTTAGAGAGAAAGCACATGGCAGAGACAAAACAAAATGACAGAAGTTCAAGGTCACACTGTATTATGAGAATGGTAAGAATGTTTTCACAATGAATTTTGAATGTCTGATTTGTAATTCAGACATACACAAGATTGCACAGATTGAGTAGTAAGGAAGATTATTGGAATGATAAACTCAAAAGAATATGGAAAAAAAAATCAATTGAAAGTGGCACTATACCAAACCTGAGAATTTTAATATAGATTTGTTAAACCAGACAATTTTTTTTTAAGAGTATTTGCTTTTCCATAATTTTCTTTAGATCATTAATTGAAATTAATCTATAGGGTACAAATTCGCAAAGTTTGTTAAATAAATTGATACGCAACATTGACAAAAAGTGAAATTTGTTCTATTTATTTTTCACTGAAAGTGTCCACCTGAAGAGACGCATAGAGAATACTTTTGTTGTGTTATGTTGTTCCTTTCATTGTCTTTGTCACACTTTGTTAATCTCCAACTCCTTGAAAATGGCTTTACAGAATTCAACCAAACTTGCACTGATTTTTCGCACATTTTATATATAATTAAGGAGTATTGACACGACGCTATATGCTATTTGAAAGCTTGTTTAGCTTGTTATAAATTGTTTTAAACAGATCATAGAAAGTAGAGAAACAGGAGACGAAGAGGCAGTCATGGTTTCACATCTTGTGAGTATTACAAAATGTCGATTTAAAATTGTTAATTGTCAATAATATACTTTAGGACTGTCTGAAAAGATTTATACATTGTTTTGCCTTGGTTTAGAAAATGTGTTGTTTGAAAAAAATAGAATGAAGGCTATATATAAAAACAAGAAGATGTGGTATGATTGCCAATGAGAATTTATTATACCCCCGCTTTAAAAAAGTGGGAGTATACTGTTTTACCTCTGTCTGTCCGTCCATCCATCCATCCCATGAATATTTTTCGTTGCAGCTTTCTCAGGAACTACATCATAAGGATTTCTGAAATTGGTTTCAGGGTTTATATAAGTCAGCTATACCGTGTGATGCCTTTTCAGATTCATCACTCGACAACTTCCTGTTTACCGAACACTTACATATTTTTACACTATCAATATTTTCCAGTTGCGGCGGGGGTATCATCAGTGAGCCACTGCTCACAGTTTCACTTGTTTTTAAAACTATTGCCATTACTTTTGAGATTGATGATCATGAGACTATTAGCTCTATACGTTTATAAGATTACAAAGGATTTAAATTGTACAATATAGTGTTATCTAGAACTTGACTTGAAAGAAAATACTTGTTAAAATTTTTTTTTTTTCTTTCTTTACAATGTTAATTGCATATTCTTAGCAGTTTATATAACATGGACAAACTCTTCTTTTAGAATTTTGTCGACCTGGCAGGGTCAGAGAAAGCACATGAAAATACTGGTGACAGATACAAGGAAGGATGTGCCATTAACAAAAGTTTATTCATGCTGGGTACTGTCATCAGTAAACTCAGTGATGGTGTGGGGTACGACGATTATCTTAAAATGTGGATTTATATTTTTTTATATTAACTGTATGTATTGTATAACACCAAGCATACATTCATACAATTTTATTTGACTTTTTAGGATTTAAATTTTTTTTATCATATTAACTGTATGCATTGCATGACGCCAAGTATACATTTAGACAATTTTACTTGATTTTTATTATTGGAGAGAACTGGATTGTCAATGTTGCTGTGCTTATAAAAAAAACTTCACTCTTTCACAATATCATTTGGGCAAAACTCTTCTTTTTGAGTTTCAATTTGAAGTCATTTCTTCAATCTGATCAACTGGAGAAATATTTGAGCACATTATTTGGGGAACTACAAAATTAATTACTTGAACCAATTGATAAAGGCTTCTCTCAAAGATAATCGTTTATCTACAAGGGACATTGTTATGATTTTAATTATCAAAAAATTGAATCCACAGTCACAATGTTGGGTAAAATTTTTTGTAGAAAAACTAAAAATAACATGTAAGATAAGTAAAGAAGACAAATCTTAAGACATTCACACAACCTTTTAATCTTTTTCAGTCATCAGCACATAGGGTACAGAGATTCTAAATTAACCAGAATTTTACAGAATGCTCTTGGCGGAAACTCAAAAACTGCTATTATAGCTACAATAACTCCAGCTTCAATAGAAGAGTCACACAGTACTTTAAGGGTAAGAAAGTACATGTAATATTTTTAAGAAATGCTTCATTGTAAAATATATTCTGTTAGGTATGAGATATATTCACGCTAAATATGATTTAAAAAGCCATGTTTATTGGAGATTTTACCATTGAAACAAGAATAAGGCCTATCCATAGTAATAAAAAAGTTTCGGTCGTTCCATGAATGACAGTGATTGTTGTAGAGGTAAATGTCAGAATTCATAAAAAAATATTTCTAAAAGGAGTAGGTTCATAAAGAATAATGACACTTAGAAGTAATGAAAAGCAAGAAAATGAAAACTTGTTACAAATAAAAATGCAAATTGAGAATTAAAATGTTTCTATTTAAGTTTAGATCAATGTCATAACTATGTGCTTTAACTCAGAAATTGATTTTGTTATCTATTTTGGCTTTTTTCTGACAATTAAAAAAAAATTGGGTAACATTGGCTGCATTCTCTGTAACGTCTTTTTACTTTGGACTGCAAATTTATTTTTGTCAAAACTTGGGACAATTTCAAATATGAGACACATATTATTTTTCCAAAATATTAACTTCAAAATATTATTTTTCATGGAATCCTAAAAATTGCGCAGTTTTGGCTGTGAAATGCTGTCTATTTCTTGAACTTTAAAAGAATAAAAAATGTTTGATGTAGTAAATATGATACACCATAACGGCATATTTAATGAATTGACGTATACTTTGATTTTTGTGGTTCATGTAGAAATATGGCTTTCTCCCTTGTAACTAATTTTCATGAAAAAAAAATTGTGATGTCAACTTTTATTGATAATAATAAGTTGGTTAATTTTAACATAAATTCTTCAAAAGAGGAAAAAAACTGCACCTCCCATTTAAAATTGGATATTTTCAAAGATGCATTGAAAGCTGTTTTTAGATTAAGCTGTATATGTAACTGATAGGGTGTTATTATTTTCTTATAACTTTTGCAATACAATTAGTATATGCTGCCAAGAAGGTTTTACTCAACTGATCCTAATGGTATAAAATATCACATCAATTAAATCATGTTATTGATGATCTCTTTTCCAGTTTGCATCACGTGCAAAAACTATAAAAAATCAACCTCACACCAATGAAGTGTTATCTGATGCTGCTTTGTTGAAGAGGAGCCAGAAAGAAATAAAGAAACTGCAACAACAGATTGATGAGGTAAATTTATTTTACATCAGGTTCAATTTTGTGCTGAAATTTTCTTGGTTTTTATATAAAGAGGGAAAGCGATGTGGTATGATTGCATATGAGACAACTATTCACTGGAGTCAAAATAGTGTTGATATAAGCAACTATAGGTTACCATAGGGCCCTCAACAATGAACAAAACCCATAATCAGCTATAAAAGGTCTGACATGACAAAATGCTAAACAATATAAATGAGAAAACCAATGGCGTGATTTCTGACAAAACAATGCATATATAAAGGTTAAAGTGTATTCAATGCAGCTATAATAAAAAATGTTTCATAGATAAGTTGTTTGAACCACAATAGCTTGTTTGAACAAAATCATAAAAATGCACAATCATATATCAGTTAAATTCTACAATTAAACAAAATATTCTTCCTAATTCAAGTCCTTGTTTTATTCCTGCGTTTATTGTGTGCTTGAGTTGAGGCAAATGCATAAGCAATTTTATATTTATACCCCCGCTTTAAAAAGGTGGTGTTTACTGTTTTACCTCTGTCTGGCCTTCCATCTGTCTGTCTGTCCATCCGTCAGTCTGTCCGTCCGTCCTGTGAATATTTTTCGTCCCATCTTTCTCAGGAACTACATTACAAGGATTTCTGAAATTTGGTTTCAGGGTTTATATGAGTCAGCTATACCGTGTGATGCGTTTTCAGATTCATCACTCAATAACTTCCTGTTTACCTTATACTTTTAGCTGGGCAGGGGTATCATTAGTGAGCAGTAGCTCACAGATTCACTTGTTTATATTTTTTTTAACTTTTGATTTTTTTTATTTCCAACAATTACAACATATACATGACATATATACAATATAATACATATAAGATATATACAATGTCACTTGTATATATTTTAGTTGATATACTAATTATAGCATTTTGACCTACTACAAATATTTCTCATCCTTAAAACTTACTTTTCTAACTTCTTTGCTGGTACAGCTTACACCAGAAATATGATTATGACACTCTTTGAATAACTTTTATTCACATATTGACTCTGTTATTTCTCAGTTATTAGTATTGAGTTTTGATTTGTTGGTTGAATTGCTTTGTCTAGTTTTTGGTTCAAATTTTACAATTGGTACTTCATGTCTTGAAATACCACCACTTGTTTGTTTGTTAAAACAGAAATTGTACACTTTGTAGCTGTCAAAATTGAAGAGTGTAGATGTCTTGATGGAAAAAGAAGAGATGGAGAAGAAATTAGAAGACAAAATGAATACAGAACACCAATACATGGAAACTATTAATAAGTTAAAACAGTTTATTATCAAAGGATCAGATGAGGAGGAAGAGTCTAATTTTAAGGTAAAAACTGTAGATCCATTACTATTTATAGTGGGGTACTATTTTTTTATGTATTTTGTGGGTAAAGATAAACCACAAATTTAAATTTCAACAAAAAATAAATTGTCTATAGTCTATAGGCATGTATGCAGACTTTGACAAGACCACACAATCAAATGTCTATGAAAATTTGTGTTTCCCCCTCAACAACGAAAATTTGTACCCACAGACAGAAATGAATCCACAGTATTAGCATTCTTGCTGAATAAGTGCAATTTGATGTCAAACATATTTAGTAGACTCCAGGTAATTTAGAGCTTGACATATGGTAGCAATACACAGTTAGAAGTTTAGTTTTGCAATTTGGCCATGGTGAATTTTTTAAATATGAAAGTTTTTGTACAATAAAATTGATTATTAGATATTTGAAGAATAATATGGCCTTCCATGTGGGTTTATATGAACATCTAGATTGTTTTTAGCATGTTTTATAGGCCATTTTTCTGTTTGACAGTCCGTATTTTCACATCCATACCGCCAATAGGTCCAGAAATTATTGTAGTGTTTTTCAACAAAGATTTTCAATTCAATTTTATGGAAAAACGAGCAGAAATGCATATGATTTTTTTTGGACCTCTTGATAGATAAATGTCTATGGTTTCAGGAAAGGTATCACTCTAATGGATTGAAATTCTCCTTTGGACCAAATTTTGGAGACTTTTGTGACATTTTCACCCCCCTTTGCAATATTTTGTATCAAATAAATGCAGATTTTTGCCATGGTTACACCAAAAAGAGATGATATTTCACCATCATAACTATTGGAAATCAAATCTATGGAAGATGCTCTTTCCATAAATATACACATGCATAACACAAATATTAAGCCTTATTTCTTAGAAAGGAAGGGAAAGAGGGTGGTTAAAATTTATGAGTGTCAATTTAAAGTTTTTTTCCTAACTGTGTATTGCTACCTATTGTAAAGACATCTCTGTCTGTAGTCGAGGACTATATGCCTCCTTAAGTAGACTTTAGGATAACTTAGAGCTAGATATGTTCTAAGGACTGTCTATTGTTGAAGACTGTGTGTTGCCCTTTAGATGATTTTTGGTTTATTTATTCATATATGATCATATCCCAAAATCTCCTTCTATTCAAATTAAAATTTTTACAAAAATTTGATCTAAATATCATTAACATTTATATTTTTCAGAAAATGAAAAGGAGGAGAGAAACCTGGTGTCCTGGAAAAGCTAAAGGATCTGCACTAGATTTACCTGGAGGTAATTTATTGCTTTTGATAAATTTTAAATACTTGTAGTTTACTAAATACTGTGCACTAATATTTCTTCTCCATAGTTGATAACAAGGAGACATAAAATTTTCAATTAACAAATATGCATAGGTCAAAGATGAGGCTGTATTAGATTTTTATCAGAAACTATTTAATTGAAGTAAAATTTTTGAAAGTTGTGTCAGTCTGTTTATGATCCATCAACATATAATATGCAGTTGTTTACTGCTCCCCTTACTTTTTAAAACTTTGACCTTTTGATTTATTTAACATGATATTTAGGCACATGGGTAGGGTTATAATATTTATTAACTTTGACAAAAGTATAGGTTTTACTAGTCAGTTTACATGATTCATCTCCCCAACTGCTCATTTCTATTTTATCATTTAACAGGATTTGATACATTTACCATGTTTACTAAATGTATGTATGTTTATTATTAACATATGGATTTTGTTCTGTTTTTCATGAAATTATGAGGTGTTAAATGAATGTAGTAAGTTTTTTAAAATTTAACTGAGTTTGCATATTGCATGCATGTAAATTTTTGTAAGTATCAAATGTGTTTTACACATAAAGCAAATATGTGAGTAACTAAAAGTGTGCGTTCGTCATCTTCACGAGTCTTGGTGCTTGACTTTAGGTTAGTTTTAACTTTATTTTTGTGTTTTCTTATGCTCTTCTAACCGGTATGATTCTGTACATTGTTCTGTTTCAGCAGGCAAATTTGCACGTGATTTGAATGGTCAAAGAATAGATGTAGAATTTCAAAGATCAGCTATTCCAAAGTCTTTTGTCACATCTAGGAGAGATGATACTGAACTTCCAGGTAGGTAATTTATGATTCTGCAGAATTCTGTTTTGTTATAAATTAGGCCATTAGTTTTCTTGTTGGAATTGTTTGACATTTTTCATTATTCTGTATGGGTTTGTCTCATTGTTGAAGGCCATACGGTTGCCTACGATTGCTTACATCCGCTTCATTTGAACTATGCTGGATAGTTGTCCCATTTGCAATCATACCACATCACCATATTTTTATACTAGACCTCTCTCAGAAAGGGGTGTATAGAGCTAAACCCTGTACATCTGTCCCATGAAATGTTCCACCCAATTTTCTCATGAAATACAAATCAGCACTTCCTGAAATCGTGTATAAAGGTTCACTAGACCATGCTATTCACTTTGAATATCCATCACTCGTTAACTTCCTGTTTGCTGAATACTTATAGCAAGGGTATCATTAGTGAGAAATCGCTCACAGTACATTTTGTTCTCACATTTCTGTGCCATTATGATGTACTGTATTTTCAGCTCATTTTTACTTTAAATTAACTTCAGGCAACTGTTGAATTTGAGAAAAGCTTCTGCTCAAACAAGTTGACCAATTGAAACTAATTGATCAGTTTATATAAAATAAAATCAGATTATTACTGCCATAGATGCTTTAGAAAATCAGTTTTATTTCCTTGCATGATGTTCCATAGCTTCATAGCCTGTGTCATTATAATTTTTTAGAATTATTCTTCAGCATGTCTTGAAAAAATGTAAAGTTGTAAATAACTATTAGATAAATTGTAAACCTTTTTAGGCATGAAGAAAATTGTTAATTTACCATAATGGCAAAAATGCATGAATAAAACATCTCTGAGCTCTTTCTGTTCTCCCATCTGCCCTTTCTGTGCACTCCTCTGCCCATTGTTGTTTTTGATAACCACATATGAGGGGCATGACTCCCCCTCCTAAGCCTCCTTACAATACTCTCACCCTGTAATCATGGCTCAGTAACAGGTTATGAATAATTTTTTCCCACATTTTTGCAAAATTAACAATAATTGCAAGTGTTGTAAAATTGACCATAAGGATGAATTCCAATATTGATATTTATATAACAGTTTTGAATGTTAGTAAATTGGATATATGGTTGTCCTTTTTCACAGGTCAGACTGTTTAGTCACTGTAAATTTATACTAACAGTGTAAATACTAGGTAATAGAAACAGGCGACTTAATGACAGTAATTGGAGCATCCCATATTTTTGCAAACTATGAACTATGGCTATCTTACCATTCTTGAGCATGAATTGTGGTTTTAAATAACAGATGGTCCACAAAATGGTTAATTGGTTGCTACAGCATGGCAATCAATGAAAAGTCATCAGACTAGTTCAAAACAGTCCATGTAAACAAAGTAAGCATTGTTGAAACCAGGAACCACTAAGATGCTTATTAACACTATTTCAAATTTGACTCTTTTTTTTCAGATGTTTCTGAGATGCAGAGTTTATCTGACCTCTCTCTTCCAAAAGATGATTCTCTTTTCATGGAATTTCCACCAAAGTTTGATGATTTACCAAAACCATCAAGACATGTCAGTTTCAAATCACCAGAAGCTGGATTTGACAGCCCACCATTTTTACAATCCAAAGAGTTTCTGCAGTTGTAAGTCTATCAAAACAAGTTAAATAAACGTTAATATGATTTTATCTATTAAACATAGTTAGGGAAAAAGAAAAAAAAAAATGTCTTGAAGACATCAGTATCAGAAATTATACTTACAGAGATACAACTAATTAAAAATTTGTGAAACACATCCTTTAAAATGTACCTAATGTACATTAAAAATGATGATATAATCTTTTTCACTTAAATTTGCCATGTCTGAAAAACAAAACTGTCTTCATAGTTTGGCTTAGTTCTTTGATAAATTCTAGTCTTGATATGCATATGTAAGATGAAAAAAACTGTAACAAAATAATTTTAACATTAAGTCATGACAACATCATGCTGCAAAATCTCAGTCTTTTATCTTTTTTCGTACATCACTCAAACTTAAAAGATTGAGATAAAAAGTTCATGGCGACCTCTGATATTTTCATATCACACTTAAATGGAAATGTTCACCAAACATCATGACAGATATTTGTTCTATTTTAGACAAGATGATTATGAGAACTTACTAAATCTGTATGAGGATAAGTGTAAACAATCAGAACAAGACCATTCTTACTTGATCCATGAACTTGACTTCGTTAAAGAAGAACTAGAAAAGGTAACACAATTCTCTCTACATTTGTAACTTGTGTTTTTTGTGCACCCTGCAAACATTTTTTAGGTTAAAATTATTTGCCACTTTGTCCATATGTCTGTTCAAAACTAATTACTAAATGATAGTTGTAAGTTTGCTTTAGAGTTGAACTTTATAAACAACTTTCAAATTCTTACATTTTCCTGTACATTTCGTATGTAACAATGCTTACGTTATTACGTCACAGAGAGAACCAATTGTTTAATGCGTTATTTATGCCAATTGTCCTCAGGTCAACGGGTGTAACCCATAGAATAAAAACAACTGGAGATTAGTCTATAACTCTTCAACATGACCACCTAACATGAAATGCAGGTCAAATTTTAATGCTCAAAACTTCTGCTATTTGAATTGTCTCAAAACGTTTCTTGACAACCTTTTTATACAATATGTGCTATGAAAAAATAAAAGATCTCAAAATGTTGACATGAAAATAATTATGATTAAGTCTGTTATGTGTCACTTTCTTGAAGATTGATTGTAGACTATACTTATGTACACCACCATATTTAATGGATTGGAATTGTTTTTGTTGTGTAAACAAATAGTCAAATGTCAATTTTTACTACAAAAATCATCTCTTTGTAGGTAAGATTTATGAAATATTACAACGAAATGAGATTTAGGAGGATAGGAATGAAATGAACAAAAATTTTAAGGGGATATTAACTTGTTTGACACCCAAGAATTGCATCTAAATTGTGAATGCTTTTTTCATTAAGACCCAAGAAATAACTTTGTTGTTTGAAGTAGTTTAAATATACAAAAACTATGTATAAATCATAATTTTGTAATTCTCTTTTGTAGGAAAAAGATGAGCAAGATAATGCCAAACTTGTGGACGAACTAAGGATTGATCTGAAGAAAATACAGATTGAGAAAAATGATTTGGTAGATGAAGTAGTCCTTTTACAGCATCGATTGTCCATTCAGAACCGCAAAGTTGAAGAGTGCATGTATGAATTGAATGAATTACGCAGCAGACAGCAGGACACACAAAACAACATAACAGATCAACAAGAGAGCAATGAACAAATGATAAAAATGGAAGCAGAGAGAGAAAAATTTGCAGCAGAGAAAGAAAAATTAGAGGCAGAAAAAGAAAAATTGTCAGCAGATTTATCTGATTTGAAGAACATCAATGAAGAGATGCAGCATCAGAATGAAACATCGTTAGAAATGTACATTATGAAAATTCAGGAATTGGAAGAGGTAATAATAGGGGATTTTATTGTCCTTGGTTACTCGTGTAGGAAGAAATATTTGGCACTGTTTTTTAGTGTCTTACAAAACTGAATTAACTGTTTTTAAGACATTGCTATAATAAAATGAGTTAATGCCAGATGCTTAATGTAAATTGAAAAATGTAGACGGTCACATTTTGGAATGCTTTAATGACAATTAAAACTTAATAGAAAATCATATATTTAAAATGCCCCATAAACTGTTCATTTTGTATTTGAAAATTTTAGTTGAAAGCAAAAGTTTGCTCTGACATTGAATTTCTCAAAAAAAGAAGTTAAACAAAATTGAAATGATATGGATGGTTGAAGTTAAAGAAAATTTTTTTTTAAAATGTTTTCTTTAATGATTTCTGACATCTGTTTAAAATTAAGGACATTATATATTGATAAATAGGATTTTTTTTACAAATGTCTTAGTTTTTCATGAAACTAGTACACATTATTGTTTAGGGGCCAGCTGAAGCATACCTCTGTGTGTGTGAATTTCTCGCTGTGTTGAAGACCGATTGGTGGCCTTCGGCTGTTTTCTGCTCTTTGGTCGGGTTGTTGTCTCTTTGACACATTCCCCATTTCCATTCTCAATTTTATATATAATGTTGAATTTGAGTTTGAAGGTTTAAATGTCCTTGCATAAGACTTAATTAATTTTCTTTGTTTTTTAACAGAAAATTGAAGCCAGTGATGAAAGCTTAAAAAGTCAAGAGAATAAAATATCAAGTCTAGAGGAAGAAACTAAATCCCTGAAACACAATGTTCAAGAAAACGAAAAACAATTAATTTCAACAAATTCTGACAAAGACTGCTTACAGAAAGAAATAGATAATTTAAAAATTGATCACAATAATTTAGACTCATCAGAAAATAACAATTTAGTTGAAATATCAACACAGTTAACAAAATCTGAAGAAGTGAGAAAGGATCAAGAACAAAAGATAGCAGAGTTAGAGAAAGAAATCCTTCATTTATACACAAAGTTAAAAGAACAAAGTTGTATGGATGAACCCAGAAGAAGCACAGCTGATGAACTTAGTGAAGTTCTCAAAGAACATTGTACTGATTTAGAAAATAGATTAAAGGAGGTCGAAGTTGAGAACACAGACTTGAAGGAAAAACTAAACCTTCTAAGTATGAAACAGGTCAGTGATGAACCCAAACAAAGCACAGCTGATGAATTGAGTGTAGCTCTTAAAGATTCTGATTTGGAAAATAGGTTAAAGGAGGTTGAAGTTGAGAACACAGACTTGAAGGAAAAACTGAATGTTCTAAGTATGAAACAGTTAAGTAATGAACCCAGACGAAGCACAGCTGATGAACTCAGTGACGTTCTCAAAGAACATTGTACTGATTTAGAAAATAGGTTAAAGGAGGTCGAAGTTGAGAACACAGACTTGAAGGAAAAACTGAATGATCTTAGTATGAAACAGTTAAGTAATGAACCCAGACGAAGCACAGCTGATGAACTCAGTGACGTTCTCAAAGAACATTGTACTGATTTAGAAAATAGGTTAAAGGAGGTCGAAACTGAAAATACTGAACTGAAGGAAAAACTGAACCTTATCAGTATGAAACAGGTCAGTAATGAACCCCGACTAAGCACAGCTGATGAACTTAGTGAAGTTCTTAAAGAACATTGTACTGATTTAGAAAATAGGTTAAAGGAGTTTGAAACTGAGAACACAGACTTGAAGGAAAAACTTGACCTTCTAAGTAAGAAACTGTTAAGTGATGAACCCAGACAAAGCACAGCTGATGAATTGAGTGTAGCTCTTAAAGATTCTGATTTAGAAAATAGGTTAAAGGAGGTTGAAACTGAAAATACTGAACTGAGAGCAAAACTCAATGTTCTAAGTATGAAACAGTTAAGTAATGAACCCAGACGAAGCACAGCTGATGAACTCAGTGACGTTCTCAAAGAACATTGTACTGATTTGGAAAATAGGTTAAAGGAGGTCGAAACTGAAAATACGGAACTGAAGGAAAAACTGATTGTTCTAAGTATGAAACAGTTAAGTAATGAACCCAGACGAAGCACAGCTGATGAACTTAGTGACGTTCTCAAAGAACATTGTACTGATTTAGAAAATAGATTAAAGGAGGTCGAAGTTGAGAACACAGACTTGAAGGAAAAAGTAAACCTTCTAAGTATGAAACAGTTAAGTAAGGAACCCAGACGAAGCACAGCTGATGAACTCAGTGACGTTCTCAAAGAACATTGTACTGATTTAGAAAATAGGTTAAAGGAGGTCGAAACTGAAAATGCTGAACTGAAGGAAAAACTGAACCTTATCAGTATGAAACAGTATGAACCCAGACGAAGCACAGCTGATGAACTTAGTGATGTTATCAAAGAACAGTATTCTGATTTAGAAAATAGATTAAAGGAGTTTGAAACTGAAAATACATTTTTGAAGGAAAAACTTAATCTTTTAAGTATGAAACAATCAGTTGGTGAACCTAGACGAAGCACAGCCGATGAACTGAGTGATGATCTTAAGGAGCATTGTGATGATTTAGAAAATAGGTTAAAGGAGGTTGAAACTGAAAACACAGAACTGAAGGAAAAACTAAACATTCTAAGCATGACACAAGTCAGTGATACAAGACAAAGCACAGCTGTTGAACTAAGTGATGACCTTAAAAAACACTGTGAAGATTTGAAAAATAAGTTAAAGGAGTTTGAAACTGAAAATACAGTTTTGAAGGAAGAACTTGAATCTCTAAAATTGCTTGAAAATTCTCGAAATGGAAGGCCAATTGAAGAAAATGAAATGAATTATACTTCAAAGGAAACTTATGAAGAGTTGAAAAATAAATTGACAGAAATAGAAAATGAAAATACAGAGTTGAAACAAAAAGTTCAAAATTCATCAGAAGTGATGGACATATCCAGAAAAAGTGTTTCGGTCATGGCAGATGACCACAGCACCGATTTGAAGGGATATTGTGATGGTTTAGAAAAACAATTGAAAGAAATTGAAAATCAAAATACAGAATTGAAAGAAAAACTGAGAACTGGAAGCTGTGCAATGGAAATGAAAGATCAAAGAGACACCCAAAATGAAGTCAGTGATGTATTTATAGATAGTCATAAGGATGTAGAAAGCAAACTTATAGAACTTGAAAGAGAAAATAATGAGTTGAAAGAAAAGGTAACATCTATGAATGAAACAGATATTACTATTGACATTGCCAGTATGAAAGAACATATAATGGCTTTGCAAGTTGAGAATGAGGAGTTGAAACAACAATCTGCATCTCACATAGCAAAAATTGAAATGTTGATGGAAAAGCTATCATGTGATCATTCGGAGACAAACAGTAAGAATACTGATGATGAATTGACCCATCTGGAGATCAGGTTTAGAGAAATTGAAATAGAAAATGAAGAACTGAAAGAAAGAGTTCTAAAATATACAGCACAGTTACCAGAACAGGAAAGAAATCATGTTGAAGTTTTAGCATCTGAGAAGATGGAGATAAGAAAAGAATTAATGAAAGCACATGAGCTGAGTAGGCTAGACCAAGAAAAAATAAAACACCTTCAAACAGAATTAGTTACATTTGGAGAAAAAATTCGTGCAGGTTCTATTTCAGAATGCAATCGAAGAAGTGTTGAAGTTGAATTGACAGATGTTTACAAGGAACACTGTCAAGATCTTGAAGCACGAATGGAGGAGTTACAAACTGAGAACTCTGATTTGCTGGGCAAGATTGATCATTTGACAAATGCTCATGGCAAATTGGAAGAACTGCAGAAAGAACTTGAAACTAAACTTGAAGTATTGGAACAAGAAAAGAAAGAGGCTATTTTGATAGCAGGTGGAATAAAGGGAAGCATAGCTGATGAATTGTCATGTGTTAGTTCAGAACAGGATAACATCGGAGTAACAGATATTTCCAGAATTCCAGAACTTGAGAAAGAGTTGCAGCAACTGAAAGATATCTTGGCTGATTCTAAAGGAAATTCTAACAACCAAATACAGGAACTTCAAACAGAGATTGGAACACTTAAGTTACAACTGTCTGAAAGGTCAGCAAAGGCAAATGATGAACAAAATGGTGAACTACAAGAGTCAGAAACTGAGCATAAAGAAATGAATTATTGTCAAGAGGAAAAATTGGACATTAGCATGGAATGTAGTTCAGAGAAGTCCAACGGGGAAAATATAGAAAATTCATGTTCATCTGACGTTTTCTATGATAACGATGACATAAGACAAAAATATAAAGAACAGTTAACAAAACTTGAACAGGATGAAAGAAGACTGAAAGATTTAGTTAAACAAATACAACAACTGGAAGCTGACAAAATGTCTTTGTTTGAAAAGTTTGAAGAGTTGAAATGTCAAAAAACAGAATCTGGAAATACTTCTCACATGGTAGATCTAGAAAACAAAGTTAAGATTCTTGAAGATGAAAACAATGTTTTGTTGGAGAAATTGCATTCAAATGACTCATCTGAAATTGAGAATTTAGAAAGCAATGTAAAACTTTTGGTAAATGAAAATCAATGCACATTGGAAAAATTAGAATCAGAGGTTGCCAAATGCCTTGAACATGAATACAGAATCACAGTTTTGGAAGAAGAAAATAAATCTTTAACCAATAAATTGGATGGAACAAATTCTTTCAGATCAGAAGAATTACAAAGCAGAATTGAAGTTCTTGAGGATGAGGATAGATGTATGAAGAACCGATTGGATGAAAGTAAGCCTTCTGACAATGAGGAATTGTTGGTAAAAATAGAATCTTTGACCCAAGAGAATAAATGTTTGTTAGACAAGTTTCAGGGAGGTGAAACTGTTCAGCAGTTAGAATCTAGAATATCACTTCTTGAACAAGAAAACAAATGTCTGTCTGAACGGTTGGTAGAATCTCATCCCTCAGCTTCCTCACAAGAACTTCAATGTGAAATTAAAGTACTTAAAGAGGAAAACAAGGATTTGTGTCAAAAGTTAGAAGAGATGGACATTTCAAAATATCAAGAAAAAGAAGGTAAAATTGAAGTTCTTGAAGAAGAAAATAAAAGAATGCTTGAAAAAATGGAAGCAAAAGAAATAATGTTTTTAGAACTTGAATGTAAGGTAGAAGTTTATGAAGAAGAAAACAAAAGTTTAATTGGAAAGATTGAACAGTTGGAAGGTAGTGTTTTTTCAGATCAACAAGAACTCAATGACAAAATAAAAGACCTTGAAGAGGAAAAGGAAGCTCTGATATCACAGTTAGCAAATAATCAATCAGCTGAAGAATTAGAAAACAAGGTTAAAATTCTTGAAGATGAAAAAATGTCCTTGTTAGAAAAATTAGAACTTCATAACGGAAACTGCCAAGAACTGGAAGGCACGATAAAGATTCTTTCAGAGGAGAATAAAAATTTGAAAGAAAAGTCGGCAGATAACGACGTCAGAGTTGAAGATTTGGAAAACTTAGAAAAAGAAGTTGAGGTTCTTAAAGAACAGAAGCAAATCTTAACTGAGAAAATAGAACTTGGTAAATTAAAATTACAGGAGCTTATGAACAAAATCGAGACTCTTGAAGAAGAAAATAAAAATTTGTCCCAGAAATTGAAGGTAACTAATGAGACAGAAGAATCAAATTCTTTGTCAACACACAAATTTGAACACAAAATTGACACTTTACTTCAAGAAATAGAAACTCTAAAAACTGAAGCTCAGTCTGAGAATGATGTATTAAGTAAAAAGCTTGAGGAGTCAAAATGTAGAATAGATGTATTACAGGAGGAGATTGAAACAGTGACCAAACAACTGGAAACAAAACATTCTAAAAATGAAGAATTAGAATGCACAGTGGAAGTTTTACAGGAAGAGAATGATAAGGTGTATGAGAAACTAGAAAACATGGTAGAAAAAAACAAATTAGATGATCTAGAATGCAAAGTGGAAGTGTATAGAGAAGAAAATGAGACACTATGTGAAAAGCTTAAAAATTTAGAGGAGAATGAAAAGGTAAGAATTTCACCTACACATTTAAGTTTATATGCATTAAGAATATTAAGAAAAAACACAATCTTCAGATTTAAGCTAATTAAGATAAATATTTCTCTTCAATATAATGGTTCCTGTTGAGGTTTGTAATACCACTTGTTTTATATGTTTGTCTTTTGGTTCCTGTTGAGGTTTGTAATACCCCTTGTTTTATATGTTTGTCTTTTGGTTCCTGTTGAGGTTTGTAATACCCCTTGTTTTATATGTTTGTCTTTTGGTTCCTGTTGAGGTTTGTAATACCCCTTGTTTTATACGTTTGTCTGTTGGTTCCTGTTGAGGTTTGTAATACCCCTTGTTTTATACGTTTGTCTGTTGGTTCCTGTTGAGGTTTGTAATACCCCTTGTTTTATACGTTTGTCTGTTGGTTCCTGTTGAGGTTTGTAATACCCCTTGTTTTATACGTTTGTCTTTTGGTTCCTGTTGAGGTTTGTAATACCACTTGTTTTATATGTTTGTCTGTTGGTTCCTGTTGAGGTTTGTAATACCCCTTGTTTTATATGTTTGTCTGTTGGTTCCTGTTGAGGTTTGTAATACCCCTTGTTTTATACGTTTGTCTGTTGGTTCCTGTTGAGGTTTGTAATACCACTTGTTTTATACGTTTGTCTTTTGGTTCCTGTTGAGGTTTGTAATACCCCTTGTTTTATATGTTTGTCTGTTGGTTCTCCTCAGGCTGTTTTAGGGCTGTGTTATTCGGTGGAATCGCATTTAACTGCTGTTCATCACCTGGTACATTTGTCCCTGATCGTTTGTTTTACCCAGCCAATTTGTCAATCACTTGTTCAAGAACGAAAAAGCAATTGATAGAAATTTCTAATTGCAGCTTCTAAACAAATTGGGGAAAACCCAATTATGTTATCAGCAGAATAAAAAACAACCATTTTGGCCCATTAGACCCAAACATTTGCCATCACTTTGGCTTCATTATCTGGACTTTTTACATTTAATTTTATGCCTCACCTAGGGGCATTATGTTTTTGGTCTGTGCGTCCGTTCGTTGGTCTGTATGTCTGTCCTGCTTCAGGTTCAAGTTTTTGGTCAAGGTTGTTTTTGATGAAGTTGAAGTCCAATCAACTTGAAACTTAGTACACATGTTCCCTATGATATGATCCAGGGTTTCCGCTGGTGGTCGCCTTTTTCGCATTTTGAGAAAAAAATAAAAATTGTGGCGATTAAAATTCATTATTGGTGAAAGAATTTGGCGAAAGATTATAACAATTCAATTTCATCCATCTGTTTACTTTTTTCGGGTTTCTCAGACTTTACCTGATCAGACAATATTCAGAATTCACCTTGAACTCATTATACGACTGACAGAAAATCAATAATCAGCTGAGTGCATTTTATAGCTGTAGGCAACAATGGACTAATTAATAAAGGTGTTGATTGTATTAACGATGGTCCGGAAAAGTAAACTGTTGTTATGACGAAAACTGTTCAAAAGCAAGAAAAATCTCTGACTTTATAAACTTTTCCCTCTAACTTTGATAGAAATAATTGATTTGAAGTGGGTACCAGTACTTTATAAACGTCTTGTGTTTCATGCATAGTTTTACGTCTCGACTTTTTCTTTTTACGATGGTCCGGGAAAAAAAAGATTTGCTACGCAGAAATAAATTCAATTGTAAGAAAAATCTCTGACTTTAGTCTTTATCCTTCAGACGGGAAAATATATATCTGATAAACTTATTGAAGATGAATCTTGTGTTCCCAGAAGTCAAAAAAACTTATTGAAGATGAATCTCGTGTTCCCAGAAGTCGAAAATTATGATTTCATGATCTATATTTCAATTTTACATCATCTTTTGAAAAGTAAATGTTATTTGTTTATTCATTACAATGTAAATTAAAAAAAAAGATTTGTAGAATAATCATAGACTACAATGGGGCAAACTGTTTTTTTTTTTTAATAAAATAAGTTTATGTTAGTTGGTAGTTGGTGAAAAAATATTAAAAGTGGAGAAAAATATATTGTTTTGGCGAAAGAGGTGGCGAAAAAGAAAATTGACCCAGGGGAAACCCTGATATGATCTTTCTTATTTTAATGCCAAATTAGAGTTTTGACCACAATTTTACGGTCCACTGAACATAGAAAATGAAAGTGCGAGTGGGGCATCCGTGTACTATGGACACATTCTTGTTATCTCTGATATTTGATACTGTCAAGTCCCACATTGTTGGTAGCATCTCTTTTAAAAACACAATACTATCATGACTGTTATTTCTATTTTAAATTTTTTTTTAATGCAATACTAGTAAAATTACTAGAAAAGTTAAACTGTGATTGGGAGACATTTGTTGCCAATGACTCTGGCCCTCAATTTTTGGAATTGATGGTAGTGTCATCCAATCAAATTGCATTTAAATTAGAATTAAACGCTAATTATACTGAAATTTCATGACTTCCAAGTTTTTTTACCCTTTTAAAAAAAATTTGTGAAAGATTTTTTGTTTTCTAAGCCTTAAACATTTTATTAGATGGAAAAAAAAGGTAAATATTCTACTTGAGAGGTATTCAGAATTTAAGAAAAAATTATGTTTTTATTTTTTGGGAATTAATATAATAATGAATTTCTTTTCTCTAATTTGTTTTATTTTCAGTTATCAAAAGAACAATCAGGTCTGATTGAGGTCTTATCATCAGAAGCTCAACAATTAAAACAAGAGAAAGAAAGACTTGAAGTAAACTTGAAAGAAATGCAAGATGAACTGACAAAAGTGTCTGCATTGAAGGAAAAAGGAAATAAGAAAATAGAAGATTTGAAAGATGATCTACAAATTATAAAAGCAACAGAACACGTATTGAAAAATGACAATGAGAAACTTTTATCAGAAATTTCAAACTTACAACACGGTTATCATGAACTTGTAAAATCTGAAAAGATTAAGTCAGACATGATGAAAGTCGAAGTAGAAACATTGCAAATTAAACTAGCTGAGAGCATAACTCACGATAGTGTAATGGTCAAATTGAATGAGCAGGAACAATCTTTTAAAGAAAAACTACAGAAAAAACAACAAACAATTGATCAGTTAATGTCAACCATTACAAAAACGAAAGAAGACAGAGATAAGATTGAAGAGCAGCATTCCAAGTTAGATAATGACAGAATGACATTAGAACAGAAATTATCATTATCTGAGAAAAACTCCAGAGAATTGCAAGATACTTATAATAAATTGTTAAAGAATTTTGAAGAACTTCAAAGTAAATTAAAGGAAGTGGAAACAGGAAATCTGAGTGAGGTAAGCTTCTTTTTTTGAAAAAAAAATTTCTTTCACTTATTTATATTTAATCACTCACAAGCTAGAGTCATTTTTAACACAATGTTTAAGGTATTAAATTTCTGAATTTATTATTCCAGATAATTTTCCCTTCTAGATGTGAATTATATTGAAAGGTTCATTCTACATTTGTTATGAGCACTCTCACATGTGCATTTCTTGATAGATTTTATAAAATTTGATACCAATATTTTAAATCTTTTTAAATTTTAAATGTCTTGGATGAGATGGAAAATCAGTGCTGATTTACTATTTTTAAGGGAGTTTCATTACACTCCTTGGAAATGTAAGTTATATAGAAAATTGCATCGAAAGCATTCTCACACCTACACCTCTTGTTGTTACTATACTATATATAAAAATATTAATTTTCGCGAACCATTTAGGTCATGGAAATTCCATTTTTTGCCATCAGTAAGGAGAGTTGTACAAATAATGTGAATACACAGAACCCCGATCCAATTCATCTTTTGCTAAAAATATTTATCATTTTCTGTTTTGTATCTCCTAACATCATTCCATTTTTCTCTAATTTCGATTAAAATATGCCAAAACCTGCAGTAAAAATAGATGTATGCCCCAAATAAACATTCCCCGATTGGTTGAACTAATATGGCGTCGATGTAAAGCAACGCAAGTCTCGATGTAAAGCAGCGCAAGCCTCGATGTAAAGCACACGCTTCCCAAGAGTAAGGAGAGTTGTACAAATAATGTGAATACACAGACCCCTGATCCAATTTATCTTTTGCTAAAAATGTTCATCATTTTCCGTTTAGTGTCTACCAAAAAGATGTCTATTCTCATCCTCTCTGTGGAGACACTCCACTTCCTGGCTGGCGCATTGTCGGGCAGGCAGGTTCTTCCTCACACTGAAGGTTGCAAGCTGACTTGCTCAGGCAGGAACTCAAAATTTTATTTTGTATGCTGAGTGTTTCTCAAGGGCCAAAACTGATTGATTGTTTATAATAAAATTATTATTCTAAGATATCTTCCTGCTTTAAGCCAGTGTGACTTGCAAGGATTATGTTTTGGTTAACACACAGATATCCCTTATGAAAATTTGGTTTAGTTGTGTTTGGAGCTGGTAATTGGTGTACAATGCTCAAATATGTGGGTTGCTGTCTTGACTTTAATTGAGATTTGCTTTATCAGGAGTTTTACTTGAACTAAATATTGAACTTCAGGACTTCTCATCAATACACACAGAAAATAATTTGCTATAAAATACAGGTTGATGTGATCATTAAACTTTTCATTTCATCAATGGAAGGCTTACATTATGAAACTTTGCTCTTTGGGATAGGTAAATAAATATATCTCAAAATATTTAGTATGTCTGCCATTGGTGACTTACAATGTTTTGTTCACTGACACTATACATTTATAAACGAAGTTTTTGCATACCACTCGACAACAACAACAACAAAATAATAAACAACCACCTTCTTAAACGACAGGAAATATTTACACCTGAGATTTCAGAAAAGATTAGAGACTACAAGAAAATTACAATATGAGACAATTATACAGACTATCTACATACAACAAGTTTGAATAAATGTTCTTTTATTGTAAAAAAATCAATTGCTTAGTTTAACTGTATACGGTTAAAAAAGGAAATTAATTCTTTAACCCAAGTTTTTATATGATATTTTAAATGAAGCACACATTTTAAGAAGGTCTACGACATGATATGTTGAAAGTTGGAGATAATAATTATATGTTGAGAGTTAGAGATCATTATGATATGTTGAGAGTTAGAGAGCATGGGGTCATAACCAGATTTAGTTTGCTAGTTGAGAAATGTTAATAAAGAATTTTTTCAATGTTATTTATTCAGTTTGAATGGATTATGCCAAAACTGGATATTTATTTTGGTCTTGCATGTATTTTATTTTAATTGACTTTGCAAAAAATATAAAGATTAACCTTGTTGTATGTCAAATATTTCAGAGCATGAATATGAGTAGAAGTAGATTAGAACAACCAGATAAAACTACAGATAAGGTCAGTACATAAATTACATCAGTTACAATCGGGTTTTTGCATATGATAGGGTGAACAATTATTTCAATAGAAGATTGATTGATTGATTGATTGATGTTTAACGCCACTTTCAGCACTATTGTGCTATTTTGTTGTGGTCAGTTTTTTTTGGTGAAGGAAGCCAGAATGCCAAGAGAGAACCACCGACCTTGGTTAGAAAAAAGACAATCCTAGTCAATTAAGATTGGAGTCGATATCACCTGCCATGTGACAGATTCTAACTCACAACCTCAGTTTTGACAGGCTAGTGATACAGTAGTTCTACTACTTAGACCACTAGGCCACCGAGGCCCCTACTTCAGTAAAAGGAAAAAGAAAACGATGTATTCAGTAGTCATGGTCAATCATTTATATGTTTCTACAGTGCCAGCTATCATTATACAAGGGGGAATAGAAGAAAAATTATACTGATGTTTTCACTAGAGAAGGACTGTGGAATAGTGCTGTTGGTCAAATCTACACTAGTATTTATAAGGAAACATTCTGCCTATATCAATTCTCATACGATAAAATGTTTTTGACATGACAAAAGAATACACTTTTACAGAATCTATGTGATTATTAAAGTTCGCAGTAGTTTCTTCTGAAGAGTTTTATGTATTGTAATATGACCATACATTGTCTTTGAAAATGTACATTAATTATAGAAATGTATTGTATAAAAGTAAATGAAAGTAGATGTGATAACTCTTAGTCAAAATTATTAATGTTGGATAAACATGTATGACGTTGATAAATCTGGATCAAAAGAATAAAATGTCTATGCAAACACATTTAATACTTGACATTATATGTTTTGTGATAAGTGAAGAGCTAAGCAGTCATAGGGGAGAATGATAATGTCATATTTTGAGAAATGTAAAGTGGTTCCATGAATAAAAACTTCCTATCAAGATAAGTTGAACATTCCAAAATTACTTACTGCATATTTATAGACTTGGGTAGACATTTGTCAAATGTTCTGTAATAAATGACTAAAGAATTGTAAATTATCAAATTTTAACGAGACTTAAGTTAAATGTTGTACATTAACATTGTCTAGATTGTCAGACTGGTTACAGAGAATAGTAAGCTGAAGGAAAGAAATATAAAGGATTCTAAGATGATAGATCTGCAAAAGGGCTCTATACAGGTATGTTATCTTTGAACATATTAAAAGGGCTCTATACAGGTATGTTATCTTTGAAAATATTATACACTTGAGTTTTGGTTCCAGGAGTTAAAAAATTTTGTTACAGGTAACTAGCCAAGGACTTATTTGCAGCAGGATTTTACAAGCCCTGTTGGAAGAACTGCTAGCCCGTCAAAACTGACCTGCTAGCCCGAGAATGCCTTACAAATCAGAGTTTGCTGCATAATTACAAAGTGGGTGTCCCTTGTTTTGAAGGTGGCATTATACACTGTATTTAATAATTTTTGTTGACCTGCTTTTTATTCTGTTGGTAAACAAACAGTGGTGCTTAAGTTATCCTAACTTAGTTGTTCCCACATACAAAGCAGACTTTTTTTGGCGTGCTCGGGAAAATAAAGGGTATATTCTCTGTTTTTTTCATCAGCAACACGGCCAACCTTGCCCAGGGGAATCTTTCTTTCCGGGACACTATAAATTTTCCTTTCCGCTTTTCCTGTCCTATTTGGCATTTTTTAGGGGATGAATTGTCAGTCTCATTACCCCCTTCATCTACAGTTTTTCGTTTTAAAACTGACGAAGTTCCTGAGGTGCGAAATATTTGGTTGCATGGATTGGTTTCGTGCTCAACAGCTGTCCAGACAAGACAGGTCAATACCGATCAATACATCATACCCCCAGTACCGTTAATTGAAAATCTTGGCATAAGAAATGTATAATACCCTCCCCTGTACCGAGAAATCGATATTAAAAGTACGAGAATTGTGATCAATACATGATACCGGGTCACACAGAGTTATTTGTTCTATTTTTAAAATATGTACAACAGGACCTGTACAAACCAGTTCAAATTCTTGGAATCCAGGATAACGTAATTGAATCTGATTGGCTAAGATAGAATAGTGATGAAGGGATTTTCCACTTTCTATTTTGGAAACGCCAAGAATATCTTGTTACTAGTCCGTCATGCATATTGGGTTAAAAATTTGATTGCCCGAGGCAATAAATGCTCTAGTCCTGGGCGACGGGCTAGTGGATTTTTTAACCCCTGTGGTTCATACTGATACTCGGATTTTACGCTCATTACAAATTTTACATTATTTCCCACCTGATTTAAAGCTCTTGGCAAGGATATGATGAAACCTGAATTCATCAAAATATTTTTTTAGATGGCATGTATGATTTATATTGTGACTAAACTGAATGTTGCTGCAAGGAAAAACAAGTATAATTTATAACAAGAGTCACTCTATTGTATACGTATATATTACAGAGATTAGAAGAACAACTTGAGAAAAGGGATAGACAAAGTGATATATATGAGAAAATGAAGTTGGCTGAGGAAGAGAAGAAGAAAGCAGAAGAAGAAGCAGATAAATATTATGACCAGTACCAAAAGGAAGAGTCCAAAGTTTCAGCTTTACATGAAAAGGTCCAACAGCAAGAAAAAGAAATAAAACAACTACAACAGAGTGTTGAGGATATGGTGTCCAAAGGATTTGTTAAGAAGGATGAGAAATCTGGTGATGAGTTCAGGATACTTAAGAAAAAATTCACAGAAGTTTATAGTGAGTAGTGAATGAGGTCAATAATGGTTTGTAAGTTTTAATGCATTTTAAAAATTAAATTATTTTAATGAAGAGTGGTATTCGTTTGTTTTAAATTAAACATTAAAAGCAGATAAGTATACTGTCTTTAAAAGTCAAAATGAAAAATTTTGCAAAAAAGGATAAGAATTATAGAGATTCCTATAAAGTTCAAACCATGTTACACCTTGTACAAAAAAAAAAAACAAAAAAAAAAAACCTTATCATGCTCATTGGGATCAGGTATACGAATCTCTAATGATATGTTTAGGATATTTTTCATATTTCCTGTGTTGTGTATTTAGTCGTACAAGAGGAGCTACTTACCACAAATGTTTGATAAGGTAATTTCTACATATTTTTAAGATGAACTACAAGATACAAAGAAGAAGGTGGCCAGTTTCGAGAGAGAGATCGGTGATAAGAAGCTGAATATTATACTATTAGAGTCTAGTTTGAAAGAAACAGAAGAAAAGTGTAATAAAAAGTAAGATGACAATTTTTACAATGTTTACAACAGTTGCCACTCATCTGTTTACATATTTTCTTGCAAGTAATCAAGTATATTGAAACATAAGAACCAACTATAAAAATCAGTTGAAAAAGGCTCAACTCATCAGGTTGATACAAAGAAAAACAAACAAAAACACAGGCAGTACTCTGTTCTCTGGTTTCTTTGAGTAATTAAACAGTCTTTTACATTTGTTTTTTTATGGCCCCGCAACAAAGTTGTCAGGCCATATAGTTTTACCCTTGTCCGTCATTCCGTCATTCTGTCATTCCGCAACAAACCATTATACGCAATTTTTTTCTAAACGCCTTCAGATATTGGGCTGATTTTTTGTATGTGAGTTAACCATGATGAGTTACAGATCAAGTTTAAGTTTCGTTCTGCTCTGCTAATTTTTGCCGGAATTACGGGTTTGGACTCTGATAAATTGTTGAAAATCACAGTTGTATGGACTTTTTTTCTTAACGCCTTCAGATATTGGGCTGATTTTTGGTATGTGAGTCTACCATGATGAGTTCCAGATCAAGTTTAAGTTTCATTCCGCTCTGCTAATTTTTGCCAAAATTACGGGCTTTGGACTTTGAGAAATTGTTCAAAATCACAGTTATACGGACTTATTTTCTTATCGCCTTCAGATATTGGGCTGATTTTTGGTATGTGAGTTAACCATGATGAGTTCCAGATCAAGATTAAGTTTCGTTTGGCTCTGCTAATTTTTGCTAAAATTACAGACTTCAGATATTGGGCTGATTTTTGGTATGTGAGTTAACCATGATGTGTTACAGATCGAGTTTAAGTTTCGTTTGGCTCTGCTGATTTTTGCTGAAATTACAGGTTTTGGACTTTGAAAATCACAGTTATACGGACATCTTTTCTATACGCCTTAGGCCCCGCAATAAAGAAGTTGTCAGGGCCATATAGTTTTACCCTTGTCCATCATTCAGTCATTCCCTCATTCTGTCATTCAGTCATTCAGTCATTCCGTTTTTCTGTCATTCCGTCATTCCGCAACAAACCATTATACGCAATTTTTTTCTAAACGCCTTCAGGATTTGGTATGTGAGTTTACGATCATGTGTTACAGATCAAGCTTAAGTTTCATTCAGCTCTGCTGATTTTTGCTGAAATTACAGGTTTTGGACTTTGAAAATTGTTGAAAATCACAGTTATACGGACTTCTTTTCTAAACGCCTTCAGATTTTGCGCTGATTTTTGATATGTGAGTCTACCATGATGAGTTACAGATCAAGTTTATGTTTCGTTCCGCTATGCTGATTTTCATATCGTTTCAACACATCTTGTTAGATCTGCAGTACATTCACTTCCTGTTTGCTGATAGTTTGAAATTTAACTACTCATTGATCAAGGAAATATTTCATCAACTTGAACTAGTATTGGTATTGAGAGCTGGATACTATCCATGCATGTTAGTGTCCACATGTGTTGTTGAAATTGCAGATTTTTCAACTTTTTGAGACAGGGCCATTCGTGTCGTTCCGACACATCTAGTTGCAAATTGTATTGTTATAAATAATCCTGTTAGTTTTCTCGTTTGAATGTCATTTGGTCTCTAGTTAATAGCTGTCTCATTGGCAATTATACCACATATCCTTATTTTTAAATTTCTTGAAATTATAGAATATATAGATTGTCTGGGATAACTTTTATAAGTAAGATTTTTCAGACTTCATAATAAACTTTAATTGTGATAAATTGTAAAAAAAAAGTTTTAATGATTAAAAGATTTAATTGAAAACCAGCATGTAAAGATAAATTTTAAGGTTGTAAATCAGGTCAAGTCTTCCAAGTTTTGGACTTGTTTATATCTGAAGATCTGACTGATAGAAAGTATTGTTAAACCATTTAAAAAAAAAACTATAAAATATTACAGTAAAGCCATGAAGTAAATTAATAGAACCTTTTTGCTTTCCTTTTTTACAGGATAAAGGCTTATGAGGAATCATATGAAATTCTTGAAGACCATAAAAGATCTTTGAAAAATCAGATAAGAAATTTGGAGGGTCAGATAAATCAGCCAGATGATACAAGTAAGTATAGTGAAATTCTTTAAGCTTTAATTTTTAATTCCTTGTTTACAATACTCCTTGATAAACAGTCATTGTATTACATCCCCTACTTTATAGTGAAGCAGAAATTATAAAGTTATTACTGAGCTGGTTCTGACACTTGTTCCTTTGTTTGTATGTCTGTGTGTCTGCAAGTCTTCAGAAATGGTTATTTTTTTTTAAATCTTTCAAGTAATTTTTTGCAAGTAATGATGTGAAACTTCTATTTTATGTTTTCTTCCATACCAGGGATGGAAATTCACCCTCTACAAATTTCCATGATGACTAAAAATTGAACTGAGAGATGTAATTACTATTTTACAGTAGCCCTGGTTGCAATTGTCTTTTTCAGACAGGCACTAGTTTTATGCTCCAACCTTTGTACATTAAAATATTGCAGATGGCAAATTTCTATTTAAGCAACATGTATAATTCCAGAACTGGATTTGGTGAAGACACAATATTTTTATTCTTTGTGGCCTGAATTTTTATTTTTACGTTTCCAACCCTGTTATTTTTTTTATAGGAAATCGGAAACACATTTTTTTTATTAAGCCCCTGCCTTTAGTTTTACCCTTGTCTGTCTGTCCATATGTCCCAATTTAGTTTTCATTTTCTCACTTTTAGTTTGCCTCAACCAAATGTTATGAAACTTATGCACAATGCTTATTATCACCTAACACAGATCAAGTTCGAATTTGGGTGGTGTCACTTTTACCGGTCTTGAGTTATGCCCCTTTATAACGTTATATGCAAGCGAGGGCATCATGTGTGTCCCATGGACATATTCTCCATTTATTTTGTCATGTGTTAGTCTTTCCCCCTTTTGAAAAAGTTTTCTATTTAAGGATTTTGCAATAGTTTCTTTTTGTTTCAGTTGTGAATTTCCAACAGAATAAAAAAGATTCCTCTTTACCACTGGGAAAAGCTAGCAGTGCTGGTGGTGCTGTTGACCATTTCACCAACATCCTCCTACAGGAGGAGAATAGAAAACTTAAGCAGGAAAAATCTAAATATGAAAAGAAGACTGAAAAACTTCAACATGAATTACAACGATTACAAAAAGAGAAGAAGGAAAATGAGCATCTAGAGGAGAAAGTAGCACAGTTAAGGTGAAAATTACTTCCTTATTTTGGTTCAATATTATGAAATTTGAAATCTATAAAGCTTACCATGAGTGTTGCTGGTAAATGCAATTATTGTGCTTCAATTAAGTTTATAGGGAAACAACTTTTAAAGACACACAATTAAACACTCTTTTAGAGCAATGTAGTTGAGAGAAAAAGAAGAAGACAAGAAATATGACTATCTTACTAATATAGCTAAAAATAATCTGGACTATTAAGGAAGATAACTCGACTTCCAAAATTAGTTACTTGTACCAGTTAATATCAAGGTAAAAAGTATAACCCCTGACTGCTAATTCTCCTAAATATGCCTCAATGCCAAATGGTGTAAGTACTCCATCAACAGTGATCTCTAGCCTGTTAACACTGAGGATATGAGGTAAAAACCCCACTTGTGGCAGGTTTGTTTAGGATTGCCAGTTTTCCTGCTGAAGGCCTGTGATTCTCTTTAGGTACTCTCACTTCAACCACCAATAAAAAGTGGCCTCCATGATATAGCCAAATGGTCTATAAGTGACAAAAAACACCAACAATCATTCAATGAATCAAATGAATCTACCTAAATATGCATGAAATATTTGCCTCTGGATGTTAAGCAATCAACCTTGAACCAGTCTTATAAATGATTTTGTACTCTAATAGGATAAAATAATCTTGAAGTTAAAATTGGCTTTGTTCTGATGAATGAAAATTGCAGCTAGCACATATTAAAGGGGCACTAGCTGTCAAATTCATTTCACCGATTTGACTCAAATTCTCATATTAGATTTATAACAATGTAAAACATTTATCCGAATTATAAAAAGTCTAAAATAAACAATTTACAGGGCATGGGCTCGATAATATATAGTTTCGTTTCGTGTGAAGTTTAGTCTAGACGCCATCTAATTAACTATTGAGATGACCCCAAAAACAACCGACAGTCACATAACACGATATAAACATAAACATAAATATAAATAGATTAAACATAAACATAAATATAAATAGATATATGAACCTCGTGCAAATGGATATTTCTATGTCTGTTTGATTTCAAGATTAAGGTTTAAAAAATAAGTTAATTTTCGATTTTACCTGTATAAGAATGATATTTTGTGGACCGAATCAGTCAGTCAAATGATTTACCTTTGTTTCACTTTCAATGTTGACATTCTTTTCTTTTAATAACCTAACACGCATCAATCATGCTTAATCCATCTCTAGCTAAGGGGTTAAATTGAAGTTCACATGAATACGGATTCAATGAGGTCGAGTTATTCACTTGCAAGTGAATAATTCATCATCAATGTTTCTTAGCTTATTTTGACAAAATTGAATCATACTGGCTGCTAAAAGCGAATTATTATTTCATTATTTCACTTTCATTAATGATTGAACCAAAAAAATCAGAATTTAAATTTTTTATGTATCTCGTAGCTAGTGCCCCTTTAAATACCTATCCAAAAAATAATGGTCTGATGAATGAAAGTTACAGCTAGCACATATTAAATACCCATCCAAAAAATGATAATGTTGTATTCTCTTGATTTAAAATTATATTATGTTACCATTTTCAGAGAAGAGGAAAAACGACTGGGTAAACAGATTGATGACCACAACAGTGCCAGAGCACCTCTAGAAAGTAAGTGAGATTATATTTCAGAATTACAGCTTGTGTGTTCTTGTCATAGATATGATTATCTATGTATAGTTAAGGTTACTTTGTGTCCTACAACGATGCCAAAGTTACTTTGTAAAAATATCAATGTTAACAACAACAAAAACTGTTCTGAACCTTTTATTATTGTTGTTGTGCACTAAACACATATACACAGGAAAAATTGCAACTTATGTTTTTCATATGTTTTCAAACATATGAAAAACATATGTTAAACATATGAAAACATATGTTGCAATTTTTCCTACGTAACAAGTCGGCATTTCTAACTAGAATATTCTGTTAAAATCCTTATGGTAGAAACCATAATTCTAGTGTCAATATGTTTCTATACACATGTTATGGTAATTCGCTTTGCTCCCTAAGAATGAGAAAACAAACTGCATTTGATTAAAATATTGTCATAACCATTTCATTCATCATATTTATAATTACAATAAAGTGTAATTAGAAAATAAATTTTTTTTATTTTAAAATAAAATCAACAATTTATTCGACTATGAAGAACAGTCATTTCTTATTGACAGAAGATTTTCACCAATCGTGTGTGTGTTGAATTTTTTGTTCTAGATTCACAAATATATGGTTTTTCAGGTTTTACAATATTTCATTTCAGATGTGAACACTTTACTGGAAAATTTCAAAACTTCTAAACTTAAACAACCAGAACCACCGAAACCAAAGAAAAGAACTAATGACATTGAGGAAGGCTGTAACCAGCAGTAAATGTCCGTCTGCAACAGAACACTTTCACTTACATTTTGTTATATAGTGTAAATAATAACTCAGGAATTTTAATAATATACATAAGTCTATATTTATTAGATATACTTTTCAAACATTTATTTTCATCATAACATATTCATTTGTTCATTTATTCATAATATAACATTAGTCATTTATTCTTTGTAACACTATAAACTAATGTAACATACCATTAATGCCTTTATTTGTGTTTTCCTATCATAGCTATGGGAAGAACTCTCTTACTGATCCTACATGTACCTATAAATTAAGTGAATCACTTTATTATTGATCCTACATGTACCTATAAATTTGTAAGTGAATCACTTTATTACTGATCCTACATGTACCTATAAATTAAGTGAATCACTTTATTATTGATCCTACATGTACATATAAATTTGTAAGTGAATCACTTTATTACTGATCCTACATGTACCTATAAATTTGTAAGTGAATCACTTTATTACTGATCCTACATGTACATATAAATTTGTAAGTGAATCACTTTATTACTGATCCTACATGTACCTATAAATTTGTAAGTGAATCACTTTATTACTGTCCTACATGTACATATAATTTTGTTAGTGAATCACTTTATTACTGATCCTACATGTACATATAAATTTGTAAGTGAATCACTTTATTACTGTCCTACATGTACATATAATTTTGTAAGTGAATCACTTTATTACTGATCCTACATGTACCTATAAATTTGTAAGTGAATCACTTTATTACTGTCCTACATGTACATATAAATTTATTAGTGAATCACTTTATTACTGATCCTACATGTACATATGTTAGTGAATCACTTTATATTTTGTACATTAGCCAATGTAGCAAACCATATATCCATTAAGTCATGATGTTTTCTATTTGTATGACATAAAGTATAATAATATTCTGTGGTCTTTGATTCAATGAATGCTACAAAAAGCATGATATAGTTTTTGTCTTGCCTGTGTATGCGAGACATAGTTCTACTAACCGGCGGCAGCTTAAACCATTTGTAAAGCTTTATATTTTAGAAGGTAGAAGACCTGGACTCTTCATACCTTCTATGCAGATACCTTATGTTACGAAGTTTCCATCTGTCTTATGTCCATTGTCCTTTACCTCATTTTCATGGTTCAGTGACTGCTTGAAAAAAAAATTATAGTTTTTTTGTCATGTGAATTACTCACTTATTATGAGTAATAGGATAACTATATTTGGTATATGGTTCCTAACGTCTTCATGTCCATCAGACAGGGTTCACTTGACCTCGACCTCATTTCATGGATCAGTGATCAAGGTTAAAGTTACTTGATTAGGTCCATTTCTTAGATACTATTAGCAGGTTCATTGGTCAATGTTAAGTTTTTGTGTTTTGGTCTGTTTTTCAATTACCATAATCAATAGTTCAACTATATTTTGTGTATGGAATGATTGTAAGGTGTACATGTCAGTCTTGCAGGTTTCATATGACCATGACCTTATTTTCATCATCTGTCAATGTTAAGTTTTTATGTTTTTGTCATTTTTATCATGTAATGTAAATTCAGAAATTATTGCGAGGTTTTTATTAATGCAAATAATGCGACTGTATTAGTATTGCAATAATAAGAACTCACATTCTGATATCTGAGGCATATATCTGTATGCAGCTTTTCCTGAAATCGCAATAATTAATCTCGCATTTATGTTCATTCTTCAAAAATCGCAATAATAAATGCATGCAATAATTTGTGAATTTACAGTACTATTAGGCAATAGGTCAACAATATTTGGTGTATAGATAGATTGTAAGGTGTACATGTCAGTCTGGCAGGTATCATCTGACCTCAACATCATTTTCATGGATCTTTGAATATGTTAAGTTTATGTGATACTTGAAATAAAACCTTTATCTTCAAGACTTTTAACATAAAAAAACAGGAAAGCAGGCAAGACATTTCAGCTTGTGCGCGCTTATTACATTTTTTGTGTAACTATAAAATGGATGGGGGTTTACGTGAATGAGAAAGCAACCCAACACACAAAACCAAAGGGCATCTAAAGTTCAATATTGTCAACTGCTACTGATTATTTTTTCTGAAATATCGGCCTTTTAAAGTCCGCACTGGTATGTTGTCCGCACCCCTGTTTTATCAACGGGAATTCACGAAAAAACTTTTTTTCACTTGTTGAAAATGTCTATGGTAGCTCAAGTAATTTCAAAGCGTGTTTGATCGTTTGCAGTATTTTCATGGAAAAAGCCGTAATCCATCATCAATTAAAGTTAAAAATGCTTGTAAATGATTCTAGAACACTTTACGAGTGTTGAAATAAGCCAAAATCACAAGAAAAACAATTGTTGAAGTTGTATTTTTCATTAACTTGATATAGAAATAGAATGTGTAAATCGCAAACAAATACGTTGAGAGAGTGCAGAAAATCTGTACTTAATAAAAAAAAATGCTGTTTTTTGGCCACTTTGAGGCCCCTAATTCCTAAACAGCTACGACAATAACCCCCAAAATAAATCCCAACCTTCCTATTGTGGAATGGAACCTTGTGCTAAAATTTAATAGAGATCCATACACTTATACTCAAGTTATTGTCTGTGAACCTGACAAAAAATTGTTTTTGTTAGACCCTTTTTGGCCCCTAATTCCTAAACTGCTAAGACAATAACCCCCAAAATCAATCCCAACCCTCCTGTTGTGGTATGAAACCTTGTACGAAAATTTCTTATGCATCCATACACTTACACTAAAGTTATTGTCTGTGAATCAATTTATTTTCCATGAACCAGTAAAACTGACCTTTTTTGGCCCCTAATTACAAAACTGCAAGGACAATAGCCCCCAAAAACAATCCCAACCATCCTTTACTGGTTTGGAACCTTGTGCTAAAATTTCATAGAGATCCAGAAACTTATACTCGAGTTATTGTCTGCCAACCAAAATGTCTTCAGACGCAGACAACACCATAACATAACAAGAGTGCACACGCTGAAATGTCTCGCCTTCTTTACTAATCATTGATATTATGTTGATAGTCCTAAATATAAAGCTTTATTACAACTGTCACATAAACTTAACATTAACCAAGTAAACTAAACATTGACCAATGAACCATGAAAATGAGGTCAAGGTCAGATGAACCATGCTAGGCAGGCATGTACAGTATTATTTACAGATTTTTTGAAAATTTAGTGTTCACCCCAAGAACCGGTTTGGCCACAACATAACAATTTCAAGTTTATTTACAATTTACACAGTGTGTATATGTTAAGTATGTTTAAATGAACATATGTTCTCATAGTTTAGGACTTTACTCATTATAGGTTGAAAAATACAGGCAAAGTTTAGATGTTTATGAAGTGTCCTATATTTTGACTTTAGTGGAACCTTAAAGACTCTCAACATAAAATTCTATCATGTTCAATAAAGCAAGTGAGGCATATCAGGAAGTGCACTATTGTTTAGGTTTATTGCTACTTTTAAACATTACATTTATAACAAACACTACTACATCACATAGTCGTAAAGAAAAGTGTACCAAGCCATGTTAAAATGATTAATACAAGGCTTGATCTTCTATTGCAATGTTGACTGATGTAAGTGATTGTAAGAGAAAGGGAAGTTTACCATACCATTTAATGGTTTAATGAAATAAAAACAACACTCAAACACTTAAAATTACTTTACTATCTCATGAGAAATTAAATGAAAAATATATTGGCTTAGAATACAGAATTATAAACATGAAGAGAACTACAACAGTGAATTGAGACATTTTTGCATATAACAATATCTGAGGTTCAAATTGACAAACCATGAACAATGCCTTTGTTAAATATGTTTAGTAATGAATTAATACATCATGAGGTAAGAACAAATGTTATTTACATAGAGAAAGTCTGTTGGTAAATACATGTAAATGAATAAACCAAGTAAATCTTGTATTGAGCCTAGTTTTTATATATTGGATCAAGTTACTTATGCCTCAGTAGAGTAGTTTGATTCTTTAATAAAAAAAAATCAATCACTTGAAATACACTTGGCAGTTTATTAAAAAATTGTTTTTTGAAAATCCCCTTAAAAAGTAAAAAACCAAAACCAAAATAAGATGGCACCACAAAGTGGAACATCTTTTCACAATTCTACTGAAAATCTTAATTAGTTTTTCCATAATGTAACCTTCATCTTTGACCTTGATGCAAGACTTCACACTCTCCTAACCAATTCCCACCTGCCCCAGCAAGTTCCCATTGAATGATGTCTGTTGAAGATTGGCTGAAAGATTGAGATTCTACAGTGCCTCAAAGCTTAAATTTAAGTTATGTTGTGGCCTAACTCCTGACCATGAACTTATTAGGATTCAAACACTCACAATTGCCAAATAATTGACTATAAAGTTTGATGAAAATTGGACCCACCTGATGCCCAGAAGTGTGCTATGGACAAACAGTATAATGATGCTGGTGATTCTATATCCTTTTCAAAAACATCAATGGGTGTGTGCAATAAACAATAAAAGAGAATTAAAACAGTGCTCTAAATATATGTTTGTGCAGATGCTTATTTTTGTCCTCTACAGAAAAAAAAATGAAGTAATTCCTTTGTTAATCCAGTCCTCACGTATTGGATTGATAAAGGAATTTCTTTTTTCTTTGAGTCCTTGAATATAATGTGTCTAAATTACATAAAGATTAGTCAACCAGAACAAAATTTACAGATATTGATTAATTTGTTTTAATGACAAGTGGAAAATATTTCATTCATACTCAAGACAAAAAACTAATGAAAAAAGAAGACTGCTTCACACAGACAATGACAATGTTGATACTGTAATCATTATGACCAAAACAAACCTTAAACAACCTTTAAAATTATTCAAATATAAAAATAAAGAGATGTCGTATAATTGCTAATGTAACAATTTTCCACATAAGACTAAAGGTCAAGGATGATAGCAACTACATGTCACTCTATGGCTGTCAACAATGAGCAAAAAGCTGAGGTCATGGAAGATCCCCCAATTTACACATAGTTTGTATGCATACATTGTGATGATTTAATTTTATATTAAAAAAAATTTCGTAAGGGTTCCGTGGAACCCAGTGTCTTGCCTACTTATGCTAAAAAAAAAAAATGGGGAAAAAATTATTAAAAATTTTCCTCTAGATACTATCTTTTGATTGTAAGAAGCTTCTGT